ACGTATGGATATACATGCATATTAGACAAATATACGTAATATATATATATATATATGTATATATATATATATATATATATTATATGCATTACATATGATAGATACATACAATTGCAATAAATAGTACAATAAAATAAAATAATATAGATTATAATATAGATAATAATATAGATAAAATATAAATAAAAATATAATAATATACCTCCAAACTGCCGTACGATTTCTTGAAAAAGACAAATAGTAACAATATAGTAAATAATATAAAAAACGACATAATAAAATAAGAATATAAACCAAATATAAATAAAATAATAAAATAATATAATAATAATATAACAATATAATAATAATAATATAATATACCTCCAAACTGTCGCACGATTTCTTCAATGCGCGGAAAGCTGTGGCCGACGCTTCCGGAGAAATGCAAAGCGAAGTGTGAGGCGTTCATAGCGTATGCAGCTTCATGAAGAGTTAAGAGTCTATCCTAAGAAGATAAACAAATAAATATAAATAAAAGCTAGATAAAATATATAGAAATACGCTAATCATTAAGCGTATTAATCTATTATTCAGTAGCAATCAAATGATATATTTATGTTGCTGTTGCTGTTTAAATAAATATATTTATCAACAATATATACATTACACAGAGATATACTTAAAATTTGTTTTTAACGCTAACACAAAAATTAATTATATTTCGATGTTGAAGCCAAACAATAGATAAAATAAATATAATAAACAAATACAACAAATAATTTAATAAAATAAAACAAAAAATATAACGAATGATATATATAAAGATTAATGAAGTGCATTTGTTGTTATTTATCATATTAGCTTCAAATATTATAATAGTAATGCAGCAAGTACTTTAATAATTATTTAGATTGAACTATAACAATAATATAATTATTAATAACTCTATTTTCTCTAATTAATTATAATTCTTAATACAATATGAATATAACTATCGAAGAACTAATAAACATATTCTTATTCTTAGTGCTTGTTAAATTAAAGAAACAAACAAAACAGAGAAAACAAACCCTCGCGAAGTCTGCGTATTTACTCTTCGCCATGACAAACTGCAAACGAACTGCGCTCAGCAAATTGTCAATCCTGAACACAAACCCTAAACCCTAAACCCTAAACCCTAAACCCTAAAGCAGTAGAAAATTACAGAAAAGGCTATTAGAAAAAGAGACAAAGTAAATGAATAGAAAAAGAGAGGTGAAGAAGACAGAAGAAATCGAGAAAAAGAGAGACAGAGAGAGACAGAGAGAGAGACAAAGGAGAACAGAGACAGGAGAAAACAGCAAGAGAGATAGCAAAAAAGACAAAAGCATCGGGCATGACAGACGAAATAAACCACCTAAAAAGTCAGCAGAAGAGACAGTAGAAGAGACAGCAGTAGAGACAGCAGAAGAGACAGCAGAAGAGACAGCAGAAGAGACAGCAGAAGAAGGGACAGCAGAAGAGACAAACCTTTCTTGAATAGGCATTGAAGGAAAGACAAGAATGCCTTCAGGAAGCAATTCAACAAATGTCGTTATTATTGAACTGCCGTTAGCGAGCGGCTCTACGTATTTCCTTTGGCTATAGAAACCCCACATAGTTAAGCAATCCTGCAAACGAACAAAAAACAATATTTATTTGTTTATTTTAATTCATTATGCTTCGTCTGAGATAGTATCAAAGACACATAAAGAAATATATATCAGTCAAAGATATATACATACTCTTAAGAAAAAGAAAAAAAAATAAACAAATACAGATAAAAAGATACACATTCAGCTTAAACAAGCAAAGACAGAAAAACAACAAATCAACAAAAAAACAAATAAACCTGTAGAGAGGCAACAAATATAAACAAGATATAAGACAAATAAAAGAATTAAATTGTATTTAAAGAAGGAGATAAAGCAAAGACAAGAATTTAAATAAACAAAGTGAAGACGAGGAAAACAAACAGCAGAGTCAAAACTAAATCAAAGAGGAGACAGCGCAGCAAACCAATAAACAAAAAGAAATTAACATGAAAGATGATATATAATGCATTAAAATAAAATAAATAAACAAACAAATAAACAAACAAATCAAACAAAAGACAAACCCCAAACCGCGAGAAAAATTCTTCAGTGTGCGGCCCCCGACGAAATGCTAAATCTGCAGAGACAACAAAAAATATTTAAAATATTTAAAACATAAACTAAAAAAAATATAATAATATAATACACTAAGATTGTGAATTTAAAAAATAATCAAGTATACGTGCAAATAATAGTAAAATGTTTTAAAAGATATAATACATGTATATATATACGCATGTTTACATATAATATATATATATAAGTATATATGTATATATAAATCTCGTACTTGTAATAAAAGATTGAGTAGAATACAGACAAGTTCAAAAGTAAAACAGAAGGTGATAAAATATATAGAGTATGAATTGCAGTATGTGAAGTACAGTCAAACCAACACCAAAACAATTAAACAAACAAACAGCAATCAACAAAGACAAATAAACAAAAGACAATAAACAAAAGACAATAAACAAAAGCACTAGCGGATGATAAGCACACAGAACACAGGATAAGCTATTTGCTTGTTTGATAAGCAAATAGCTCGTCAGACAGAAACAAACAAACAAACAAATAAATAAAAATGTTCTCCGCTAAATGCTTGCCTATGCGGTGGCCGCTACCGCGAGGAACCTGAAAAAAAAGACAGAGACAAACAAATACAAATCCTTATACTGCTGCTGCTGCTGCTGTTTGCTGCTGCTGCTGCTGCTGCTGCTGCTGCTGCTGTTTGCTGCTGCTACAGCTGCTAGCAGTTGGCGAGCGAATATGAATGAGGCTAATTAGCAGAGTGAAAATGAAAATAACAAAGAAAAAATTAAAATTAGAGCAAAGGAAAAGCAATTAACAGAAACAGACGAAAAAACAAACAAAAGAAAAAAACAGAGAGAGAGATAAACGCAAAGACAAAGACACAAAAGACAACAGAATGAGAGACAAATGAAACATAAAACGAGAGAGAGACGATGCAGAACAAAAAGAAAAAGAAATAAAATTAGGCTGAGTGCCTCACCACATTGACGAACAAAGCCAAGCCAGTGGAGTCTCCGACAAGCTGCAAAAGGAGACAGAAAAAAAATCAAAAAGATATTTAAAAGTAGATAAAACAAAAAACTAATAGAGAGAGAGAGACAGAATAAAAACTTAACATTACAATATACAATAAAACAATAATAAAAATCAATAATATAATAAAAACAAATAGAGGAAACAAAGACAGAAGAGACAAAAGCAAACAAATAAAAGAGATAGGAAATATATAGAAAGAAGACAAAAGGAGACAGAAGATAATAAATACAAACGAAAAGAGACTAAACGAAAGCAAAGGAGAAAAACAAACAAATCAAAGCAGTAAGACGAAGAAACAAACAAAGCACACAGAACAAACGAAGAAACAAACAAAACAAACAGACAGACGAAGAAAAACAAACAAAGAAGAATTAAACAAAGAAAGTAAAAGAAGCAAACAAAGTAAAGGAAACTAAGCAAGAAACATACAGAGAAGAAGAATGAAACAAAGAAGAAGAACACAACAAAGAAAGTAAAAGAAACAAAGTGAAAGAAACAGACAAAGAAACAAACAAAGAAGAAGAATAAAACGAAGAAGAACACAACAAAGAAAGTAAAAGAAACAATGTGAACGAAACAGACAATGAAACAGACAATGAAACAAACAAAGAAGAAGAATAAAACAAAGAAGAAGAACACAACAAAGAAAGTAAAAGAAACAAACTTGTTCGTTAAGACGCTGGAAGATGCTGGCAGTGACAGTATTTTTTTTAGAGGCGAAGAAATTGACGTCCAGCAGTTTAGAAATATCTTTTTCTGTTGGAGACAGCTGAGAAACAATAAACATAAACAAAACAATATGTGTATATATAGATGTATAGATGTATAAATATTTATAGTATTTAAGTATATATATACATTTGCAGGTTTAAATAAACAAAGATCGCCCAATGCAGAAACAAACAAAATTCAATAGAAAAAGTTCAGAAAGGGATATCAACAGTGAAGAAAATAAATTAAATAAAATAAATTCGCTTATAAAAAAGAATAAACAAATACAAATAAATTTCAATACTCAAACAAACCAAGCAAAACCATCCATACAAAATGAAGTAATTATTAATTCACAAATATACATATATATACAGATATATCTGTATGTATACATATATATGTATATATATATATATATATCTTGTGAAAGGGTTATATATCAATATACTGAACGAAGGAAAGCAAGCAAGAGGAGCAGAATAAACCAAGCAAAACAAATCCCATCAAACAAACAATCCAAACAAACAAACAAATGAAACAAACAAATAAAGAGAAGAAAGAAAGAACGAAAGAAAGAAAGGGATTATAGAGCGTACTTCTTCTTCTCGATAAGGAAAATCAGGTTTCTGAAAGAAATAAGTTCTAAGGCGTTCGAAGTTTGCATCAATACCAAATACACTCTGAGTACTTCTATAGCACTGCATGCGCATTTGTTGTTTATTTTCTTCTCTTCCCATATTAAGAAAGAGCTGTTCTAATTTTCTTTCAGTCTTGTAGTTTTGAGCTGCTCTCTTTGCTGTCAGAGATGCCTTTGAAAGTGCAAACACCTCTCCTGTTCGTTCATCAATCTGCTGTATCTCAGGGAAGTACTCTGTGCCGCTGACTGCATGCAGTGCACGCGCAGCAATAACTGCTTGAAGATTATCTGCAATTGAAGAAGGTTTTGCTGTTCGAAAGTAGAATTCATTTAAGCCCAAATGATTATAATATTCCAGCAGATGCTTATCTACAGTTTTCTCTGTAAATAGACAGCGGCTCTTCAGTAAATGTCGCACCTCTTCAAACTGCTGACGGTATTTCTCACTCATCGGAACAGTATTGTCGCTGCTGCCTTCCCCGCTGCATCCTGCTCCTGGCGTTGCTGCTGCTGCTGCTGCTGCTGCTGCTCCTGCTGCTGCTGCTGCAGCTGCAGAGGCAGCAGCTGCTGCTGCTGCTGCTTCAGAATCCGCACCAAATAATGTGCTGTCGCCCAGAGAACCTACAGCACGCGGAGGTGGGGATTCAAAAGCAGAAAACCCCTGCATGCGCTGAGGCTCTCCGTCAAAGCAGGTAAAGAGAGAGCCGCACCTCTCCTTTAAAAACTCGACATTGTTCCCGCTGTTGCTGCTGTTGCTGTTGTTCTGGCTACAGACGCAGCTGTTGCTGCGACTGCTGCTGTTGCTGTTGCAGCCCCCGCTGCAGCATTCCTTCTTCTCAGTGCTGTCCTCCTTCTCCGGCATTTTCGTAAGAGGGAAAATTCACAGCAGGCAGCAACACAGGTTGAGGAAGCGGAAATAACAAACAACCAGAAGAAATTCTTCTTCCAGCTGTAGGGATACCTCAATGGCGGTGCAGTTTTTCCTTCAATTTTGTGAAAGAAACAATAGGGAGAGGAATTGTATTCAAAATAACGAGAAAAGAAAGAAATAAAACGAACAATAAAAACGCAACTTCACTCAAAAACCCACGAAAGAACGCGACAGCTGCATCGGGTTATACGACCAAACCCTTGAAGGGGTTTCCAGCTGCTTTCAAATGTACACAGGAGGGGGAGGCGTTAAATTATGCTAAAATGTTCGGAATTAGTTCTTTTCTTCGTGCAACTGCATCCGGTTTCAAGGACTGCTGTCAACCGAAACCACTCCCCGGTAACGCCTAGCTCCGGTGTATGTACACGGCAAACGGGTGCAGGAACTCGAGTTATTTGAACGTATTCCAGATTCAATAAATGAATAATTGAGTCTGTTTCTGTTGTTTCTCTTTCCAGGAAATAGAGAACTTGAGGTGTCTGGGCAGCTCGTGAAAATTCCGGTGTATGTGCAGCTCGAGATCACGCCGCCCCTCTCCAGCGGCAGCATGACGGTCGATTCAACAATTGTTTTAATATGTTTTAATGCTTTTGTTTAAAACTTAAGCTTTTATTTGCTTCAGTATTTTAGCGTATCCCCTTATTCGCCGCGAAACGCAGGGAAGAACCCGAGGCAGACTCTGTACTACTTACTACCTTGCGTGCAAACCATCAATACTTTGTTGTTGCTTGTTTGCCTCTCTTTATTTCCCCTCAACTTTAGCTTCTTGTCTTTAAACAGTGGCAAAAATACTCAACAAAAAACTAAATAAATACCTTTACGCATGCATTGCACGTGTCGCAGCGAACAGCACGAGGGAACGCACGCCCCCTTCATGAAGGAAACAAAGACAAGGAAAGTATAAATAAGAAACAAATAAACAAATAAATAACAAACAAACAAACATGTAGACAGAGGAAACAGGTGGATGGAAACGCAGTCGAGGCAAAAACAACAAACGAACAAGCAAGAAAAGTGCAAGTGCAGTAAGCTGATGAAGTTATTAATAAATAAACTTCACAAATTCATTTAAAGAGTCATTCTATTTTCTTTGCCTCCTCTTTCTGTCTTGCGTTTGTTTGTCTTGCTATGCTTTGCAAACTGTAAAGTTTGCTCTCTTTATGCACTGCTTCGCCTCCTCTTTCGTGCATTTGTTTCTCTGTGTTCGATTGTTTGCTTCAATTCACCTGTCGCTTTTCTGTGCATTTATATGTCTCCTTTATCTATCCTTACTCCCATCCATTCAATTTAATTGACTGTATGGGATTTATCTATTCTTTTAGGGGTTTAGGGTTTTAGGGTTTAGGGCTTAGGGTTATCAGCTTATTCGTTCTTCTTCCTTCTCGCTTTATGCTGTACTCTGTCGGTCTGTCTGTCTTTTTCTGTCTTTCTTTTCTTGTTTATTTATGTGTGTTTATCTTCGTTTTCTCCTCCATTTAATCTCCCCAACAGTAATTATTATGTTGATAAAAGCGGCAAAACAAACAAAAGTGCGAAAACGAACAAACGCCCAAAGGCCTTCGTATGGGTTCTGATTTCCGGTGTACGTACACCTGAAGCAACTGCTAATGCATGCATACAAATTCACTCAGCTGTGCCCGCCATATACACCCGAAACACATCATAAGTAAGCATGCATGCATGCATGCAATAAGGTGCATGCGCATTCATCACCTGAAACCGTTTGCAAAATGCAGATTGAGGTGTACGTACACCCCAATGATGGCAGTGTACGTACATGCACACCAGAAGAGAGGCAGTGTACGTACGCCTGAAGAGAGGCAATGTACGTGCATCTGAAGGAATGCATTGCGCATACACCTGGAGGAATGCGGTGTATGCACTGCTGAAGAAAGGCAGTGAGTGTACGTACACATCCAACGTTGCAGTGTACATACACCTCAAACCTTTCAGTGCTACTCCAACTCCACAGGCGCCGGCATTTCGATTTCGTCTTCTCTCGGTGACAGTTGCTGCTCCAAATGCCGCACAAATCAGCACAAAACAAGCAAACAAACAGCATAAATATGAATACACTTCTCAGGTGTACGTACACCTCACAGCAACACAAAAAAGAATCTGCACTCACCTCCAAAACTTTGAATTTCTTTGGCGGGCAGAAGTCCCAGCAAAGCTGCAAAATGAAAAAAGAAAAAGAAAGTAAAAACAATAAATAAAAAGAGATAAAATGAAGTAAATAAAACCATATAGAACGCTTGAGGCTCGTGTGTATGTTGTTGTCTGTATCTATTGCTGCTGCGCATTGCTGTTCCTGTCTATTATTATTTTTCTCTCTATTAACGTTTGCTTCTCGCTCTCCGTTCTTAATTCTTCTCCTATTGTTTGTTTTTGTCTCCTCTTTATCTTTCTTGATTGCTTCTGTCTCTGCTGCTGTTCCTTCTGTTTGTGTTGCTGCTTGTTTATACATCTCTGCTGCTGCTGCTGTTGCGCAACAGCACCATCAGCAGCATCACTATCATTTGCCGCAGTACATTAGCAGCAGCATTAGCAGCAGCATCAGCAACAGCAGCATTAGCACTATCAGCACCAGCAGCATTAGCAGCAATATTAGCAGCACCATGAGCAGCAGCATTAACAGCATTAACACCAACAACAACAACAGCAGCAGCAGCAGCAAAGAGTAGTAGTAGCTTACTGCAGCGAGTACAGCGAAGTCTGCGAGGTTATCGAAAAGAACATAAACCCACTCATCCCAGGACAGCAGTTGTTCATAGATTGGCCCCAAAAACGTCACTTTGAAAAACACTGAAAAAACCGGCTTCAGCAAAAACCCGAAAAATAACCAACGAAAACGCCTGCAAATACGCAGTGTACGTACACCGCAAATCTTCAGTATAAAGTATAGAATCATTCATTTAAAACGTAAAATAAAATAATGAGTGATGTTTTATATCATTTATAAGCAACAGGTACACACAAATATACATAAACAGATGCATCTACATGCTATTAATATATATAATTATATAATAGTACGGCCTCACGCAATAGGCAATTATATGCACATATATATATATATATATATATATATATATATAGTATATATACGACAAATATAAACGAACGAATACCGAGAAACAAACATATGCAAGCAAAGATAAACAAACAGAGATAAACAAACAAACAAGCAAGAACATAGGTAAACAAGCAAACGGAGACAGCATTCAAAGATAAGCGCGCAGAGAGACGCATAGCAGAAAACAAAGAGGAAGAAAACCCTCAACAAGCAGCAATGATGGCGAATACACACAACACACTCAAGAAGCTAACACCTAAACCCTAAACCCTCACTGGTATGCTGCGAGCTTTGGGTAATACTCAGCAACAGCGGGAGACAACGTCGAGTCCGCTATTTGGTTCTGTTGAGAGACAAACAAAACAAGCAATTAAACAAGCAAACGATTAAAGAAGCAAACAAATAAATAATAAAGAAACAAAGAAAGAAATAAAAAGAAGCAACAGCCCTACATGCAGCAAGACGATGTTCGAATGGACAGCAATTAGCACTCGCACATAACCCGCAGCGTGGAAAATATATCGGGTTTCCTGCAAACAAATGCAGAAAAAACAAACAAAAAAATTATATATCGACATCCATACATAATAAATCTTCAGGTGTACGTACACCTCAATCCTTCAAGTGAAAAGACAAACAAAACAAAAATAAAAATACAGAAAAACAAAGAAAAAATAAATACAAGCAACACAAAAAAACCATCAGAAAACAACAGCCCTTAACGTGTCTACGAAGGCAGCCACTGCCAACGCAGTTCAGGGTTTAGGGTTTAGGGTTTAGGGTTTAGGGTTTAGGGTTTGTTTGCCTGAAATCCGCCCAGCAGCACTTCAAAGATTCCCAAGTACAGCGAAATGACAGCCAGCCCCGCAATAAATTGAACTTCCAATCGCGTCAGAGTCGGACGCACAATACGAAATCCTAAGCATTAATAAATAATAATATATAATAAACAATAATTAATAATAAATAATAATAAACAAATAATAATACAAAATAATAAATAATAAATAGTAGTAAAGAGTAATGAGTAATATCATAAACAAGAATCAATAATAATAAACAAGAAACAAAAGACTAACAAAGAGCAGCAAACGATATATTTTATAATAATAGTACAGAGACACATGCAAGCGAATAATAATAATGATAATGAGATGCATGCAAACGAATAATAATAAAGAGATGCATGCAAACGAATAATAATAAAGAGATGCATGCAAACGAATAATAATATAAAGAAGAGAGCAAACAAACACCAGAGAGATTATCTTATAAATTGAGTTTCATGTCTTTGTTTGTTTGCGGTTTTCGATGTATTTATAACTGTTTGTTTTTATATGTATTTTATTTGCTTTTACTTATGCAAATGTATTAACTCTATATTATTTAATTATACTTTCTCTCTTCTTGTTAATCAAACAGCAGCAGCACCCACCCAAAGAGACAAAGATAAAGACAAGCAGCTGCACCACATCTTGCAGTTTCCGCATCAACCGAGAGGCCACCCTGAGACAAAGCCTAAACCCTAAACCCTAAACCCTAAACCCTTGCCTGGCCTTAAGGCTCTGAACCCCAACCTCACAACCACGTAGCAACCCTAAAACCCTAAACCCCAAAACCCAAGACCCTAAACCCTAAAACCCTAAACCCTACTCCCCAAACCCTAAACCGCAAACCCTAAACCGCACGCCCTTGACCCGAAAGTGTAACCCCAAATCCCAGCACCTAAACCCTAAACCCTAACCCGTAAAGCCTAAACCCTAAACCCTCATCCCTAAACCTGACCGCTAAACCCTGAGCCGGTGACCCTAAACCCTAAACCCTCACCCCGAAACCCAACGTGTAAACCCTAAACCCTAAACCCTACCACAGGGCGGCCGGGCGTTTTCCTGATGCCTGTACAGCTGCTGCCTGTCTCCAATCGAGACCGAATGCAAGCGCAGTTAGAAAGAAATTGCAGATAAACAACAAGCAAACAAACAAATTGCGGCCCCGCCACCAACTCAACTGACACCCGCACAACACCAACGCCCTAAGCACAAACAAACCCCAAAACAAAACCCTAAAAAGAAAATAAATAATTAAAATTAAATAAAATGTGAAGGATTGACACAAGCATGAACAACAAACAGAAACGCTTACACAAAGAAACACAAATTGTAAAAATAAACAAAGAAAGCAAATTAAAAAAGAGGAAACAAACAAACACAAACAACGCGAAAATAAAGAACCAACAAACCCTAAACCCTAAACCCTAAACCCTAAACGCTCAATCTTTGCAGGGCGCTAGCAGATGCAAATGAATATGCAACGAAGCAAAGCCCTCACAAGGCACTTCCCGTGTCGTTAGGGTTTAGGCTTAAGGGTTTAGGGTTTAGGGTTTGTGTTTTGACTAGGGTTTATATTTTGCGGGTTGGCTGATGTTCAGCGTGTGGTTTATTAGGGTTTATGAGATGCCTAAGGTTTAGGGTTTGTGGTGAATATAGGGTTTTCCGGTGTATGTAGGGTTTCGGGTGTATCTAGAGTTTAAATTTTGCGTTTCTTGCAGGGTTTAGGGTTTAGGGTTTAGGGTTTACGCGAGTAGGTTGAGGGCCATGAGGAAGGCGGTGGTTTGGGGTAAGTACTGTTGATCAAGCGAGAGGTGTTGCTGATTTGGATTATAGAAAGAAACAAAACCCTGAAGCTTTAAATCTACACTGTCTGCATTGAGAAGCAGCAAAGCGTAGCGGTCTTTGCGAGGAAGTGAAAAAGAAAGCTGCAAACGAGGGCCCGTGAAAGGAACTCTCTGCACCCCCATATACACACAAACATATAAATATATATATATATATATATATAAAGATTTAAATATATTAACGTTTAAACATTTAATCATGCAAATCCATGCAGATGCATGCATGCAAATCCATGCAGATGCATGCATGATACGGCCCAGCTAAACCCTAAACCCTAAACCCTAAACCCTAAACCCTAAACCCTTAAGCCTAAACCCTAGTTCGTAGGTGAGTTACCAGCATAGAAGGGACGTAGCTGTTCAACACCAAGCCGTCTTCAGCTGTAAACGAAGGCAGCCAACTCTCATGAGTGTCCAAAAAGTACTGCACGAAACCCCAAACCCTAAACCCTAAACCCTAACCCTAAACCCTAAGCCATCAAGCATTCGTCCCGACCCCAAACCCTCGACTCGAGGCGATTGATGCTCAACACGAAACCCAAACCTTCAACTTCAAACTTCACGCCTAAACCCTAAACCCTAAACCCTAAACCCTAAATCCTAGAACTTACAAGTTGGGCGTGATCTAGCAGCAACAGGAAAGTGTTGTTAACAGTGTTCACAAGACCCTCAAGCTCTTCTCCTTCCGCTGGGGACAGCTGCCTCGCTTCTGCTGCATCTGCTGTTCCTGCTGCTTCTGCTGCGGCTGCATCCACCACAACATCAAGCCCGCCCATTCGCCAAACCCTAAACCCTAAACCCTAAACCCTAAACCTTAGAACCTAAACCTAAGGTGACGACCTCGAACTTTACAGCCTCCTCCCCGTGGGGGCGAAGTGGTTCCCTTAAAAAGCAGTCTTATTCCCACTTACGGGTTTAGGGTTTAGTGTTTAGGGTTTAGGGTTTAGTGTTTAGGGTTTAGGGTTTAGGGTTTGGTGTGCATACGAGGGTTTGTTTCTTCTCCATTCCAATCTGGGCAGCCAAGCGGTCCTCTTTGAATTTGTTTATTACAATCTCTTCTTCTTTCAAGACGAGAAGCAGGTGCTCCTGAAGCTTCCGCAGCTGAGGCTTCTGCTGCTGCTGCTGCTGCTGCAGCTGCAGCTGCTTCTGCTGCTGGTGCTGGTGCTGACGAGGCCTGATCGTTAGCTGCTGCTGCTGGAGCAGCAGCAGCAGCACCAGCAGCAGCGGCGCGCGGTTGTGAGAATGAAGAAGAGAGAGAAGACAGCAGCAGAGCGGGCATAATAGTGTTCGCCGCAGGTGAAGGCTCATCTTGCTGCTGCGGCTCCTCCTCCTGCTGCTGCTGCTGCTCCTGCTCCTGCTGCTCCTGCTGCTGAGAAGAAAAGAAGTAAGAAAGGCGGCGCCCTGCGTGAACCAGCAGCGGGAAGGTAGACGCGAGAGCAGCAAGCGGTTCGTCTGCTGCATCCATATGCAGCAGCATCGAAGTTGAACGGCTCGCAACGTCTCCCTCTCTGCTGCTGCTGCTGCTGCTGCTGTTGCTGCTGCTGCTGCTGCTGCTGCTGTTGCTGCTGCTGCTGTGCCGTTCCTCTGCGTAACGGAAGGGAGGCTGCCGCTGCTTCTGCTGGTGCTCTTTATATGCCGCGTAGCTGCTGTCTTCTGCTGCTGCACTATTTGCTTCAGGGCTTCCTGCTGCACTTGCTGCTGCACTTGCTACTGCTGCAGCAGGAAGCAAACGAGGAGCTCTCGCAAACCTCGGCGCGGTTGAAGGCATGCTATTCTTGTAGTCTCCCGGCAGCAGCTGCAAGTCTATTGTCACCACTCCTGCACGCAAACCCTAAACCCTAAACCCTAAACCCTAGTACGACATACGCAGAGCAGCAGCAGCAGAAGCACGCAGCTCCTACAGCACCACCAGCAACGATAACACCAGCGGCAGCAACAGCAGCAACAGCAACAGTCAGAATAGCCGCAGCAGCAGTAATTGCAGCAGCAGCAACGCCGGCGGAAGCAACAAGAGCAGCAGCAGCACCAGGCAAAGCGACAGCAGCAGAACTAGAACCACCGCAACCACACCACAAGCAGCAACAGCAGCAACAGCAGCAGCAGAACCAGCAGCAACAGCATCACCAGTAACAGCACCTGCAGCGGCAACGGCATAAACAGCAGCACCAACAGCAACGGCAGCACCAACAGCAACCGCAGCAATAGCAAAAGCAGCAACAGCAACAGCAGCAACAGCAACAGCAACAACCGCATCACCAGCAGCAGCAAGAGCAACAGCAGCAGCAACCGCATCATCATCATCATCAGCAGCAGCAGCAGCAGCAGCATTTCTTGCCTCCTTTCTCCATTCCTACGTGAGGAACATCTTTGGGCGGAAGTTGCGAGTTAACAAGATAAGGTACCCGACAGAGAGGCAGCATTCTTATCATTTGCTGCCGTTCTGCTGCTGCTGCTGCTGCTGAAGCAATCGCCGCCTCCAGCCCTTCTCGAGCGTCGATCTCGCACACTATTGCACTCGCCAGCTGCTGCTGCTGCAGCAGCAGCGGCTGCAGCAGCAGCAGTAGCAGCAGCAACGCCCTCGGAGGCACAGACGGCATATGGGCTCTGTACTTCCAGGAGAGACGGCAGCAGATGCTGCTGTTGCTGCTGCTGCTGGTGCTGCTGTTCCTGTTTGTGCTGCTGCTGCTGGGGTTGTTGTTAGCGCGATGATTTGCAGCAACAAGGGGTGTCTGCATGCGTCTGCTGCGTGTGGCAGCAGCTGAGGGTTGCAGGACCATCTTGACGGATTCAGAAGCAGCAGCAGCAGCGTGTGCTGCTGTATTCTTGCTGCCGTTGCTGCTGCTGCTTCTGCTGCTGCGATTGCTGCTGCTGTGTTGCATTTTCATGACTGCTGTCTGAGCGGGCAGGGGCCCCCAGGGGGCCCCTGGGGCCCCTCGTAGGATGGAGGGGGGCAGAGGAGTCGAAGAGGTTTGCAAGACGTCAATATACTCCAAAGAGGAGCTGCTGCTGCTGCTGCTGCTATGGTGTTGTTGTTGCTGCTGCTGCTGCTGCTGATGGTCTATGGGGCCCCCTTTAAGAGAAACACCAGCGAGTCAATACAACGCTGCGGTGTAGAGGGTAAGAAACGAAGTAGGATATGTTTTTTATTGTTAGCGAATGAAAATTCAGAGAAAGAACAAAGAAAACAAGAAAGATTTCTCAGGGTCTCATATTGCTGCTGCTTCTCCTCTCTCTTGCTGCTGCTCCTCCTCTTGCTGCTGCTGCTGCTGCTGCTGCTGCAGTAATGGGGCTTATTCGTGTTGTAGAAGTGAAGGAGTTGTTTCTTCGGTGTTTGTTTTGAAGTCTTTATTAGTATTTTCTTTTTTCTTTAATTTCTTTGTTTTGTTTCAGTCGATTTACTCCCTTCTTTTTTATCATCTCCAATAGTCCGTCTGCATCGACTGCTGTCTGCTGAATTCTTTCTTTTAGGGTTCTTGTATATTTAATCTTTTGAGGCGAGAGGAAACGAAATAAATAAATAAACCGGAGTTTAATTGGGGTTGAATTGGAGTGTACAGACACCCGAATTTCTTGTGCTTGGGTTGTTACGTCTGTTGTATGTCTGTTATTTTTCTGTTTTAGCCTTCTAACGGTTGGTATTTATCTGCTTCCCTTGCTTTATTTATATTTGTTTGATTTCTCTTTCTTTATTTTTGCTATTCCTGATGAGTTCTTCCTCTCCTTTGCTGCTGCTTGGCGGTCAAACCCCCGCAGCAGAGTTGCTGCTGCGCGAAGCAGCTGGGGGCGTAGAGGCACCTTCTGTACTATCTCTTTCTGTCTTTCTGCAAAACAAAGAGGAGGCGCCTGCTTCTAATCAACGGAGTATCATTTGGGTGGCTTTAGATGCAGCAGAAGCAACACTTTTTGCTGCTGCTGCTGCTGAACACCTGCTGCAGCAGCTGCAAACCAACGGAATCCTCGCCCTAGCAGTAGAAGGAGCAGCAGCAGCACAAGTAAGCAAATAATATCATTAATTCAGTTGTGTTGTCTTCGCCTCTTTGGGATGGATTGAAGTGTACAGACACCCTAACTACTTGGGGGGGATATGGCGGGTCCTCTGCCGCTGCCAATGCTGAGCCTCTGCTGCTGCTGCTGCTGCTGCTGCAGGTTTTTGCTGCTGCAAGCCGTAACTGTATGTACGCTGGGTTCTTGGAACTGCGAAGAGAGGAGTGGCCTGAGCCCCTCGTGAAGGCAGCTGCGAAGAGGGAAGATGTCTGTGTGGTGAGTCTCCGGTTTAACCCTCGTAAACCCTAAACCCTAAACCCTAAGCGTCTGTTCTGTGTTCTCAGTGCGTGTGCGCGGTTTCCGTGGACGTCCGTCAACCATTTCCTCTACACGGGATAACTGTTGTTTCGGGTTCAGGGTTTAGGGTTATTAGGGTTGGTTTGTGTGTGCTTGCGTTGCACTTCATTTGCTCTTGTATTCGTTCTTCTTTCTTTTCTCTTCTTGTTGATTCTTTTGTTTTCTTTTTTGCATTTGTTGTTTCAGGGAGTCTGGAGGAAGCCCCCCTGGGCCGTGGGGGCTTCCGCCCCTATCGGTGCATCTGTAGCAGCAGCAGCAGGAACAGCAGCAGGAGCAGCAGGAAGTCTGATTGATGAAGATTCTCTCGTAGACCCCAAGGAGACGTACACCCCGCTGGGCAAGGGTTAGCAGCCACCGGCAGTCCTTGCGCCTCTTTCCTCCCTAAACCCTAAACCCTAAACCCTTAATCCAAACAAACTGTAAACACCTCTTCTCCCTCCCTTACGGCGAAGGCTTTGGAATTGAGCTCGCCGGGCTTGGGGGTTTGCACCTAAGGGTCTAGGGTTTAGGGTTTAGGGTTTAGGGTTTATTGTTGGGTGTTGTTTGTATCAGGGCGTAGTGACTGCGCGTCTCGCCCTCGTGCATGTGCAAACTGCACGTGCGGGCGGAAGGAGATGGAGGAGAAAGCAGAAAAGGAAGCATTTAAAAAACAACTGGAGACAGGGGCTGTTCGCAGCTCCTGTGGCAATGTGAGTAAAGCTGAGCAGACACCCGAGTTGCAGCTGCGTATTGCGCTCCGTTATCTCTCTAAGCAGCAGCTATCTGTATGTACACCCCAACCCAGAGAGGCTGCACTCTACGGTCTTTTGTCCTTTCGATTTGTTGCATTTTTGTTTTCAGTGTTACCTGGGCGATGCCTTCAGATGCGCAGGCTGTCCTTATAGAGGTAAAGCGACGCACTTCCTATATTTATAAACTAAACACATACATAAGCGTATATGTATATATGTGCACATATATATATGCTATTCGCGTGTTTATATCATATGTATATATATATATATATACCTCGGATCTATACGTGTGTGTGTGTGAACTATGTATACAAACATACATATGTATATATATTGGTAGCAATTGCATATATGTGTATATATTACGACATACAGAGTGCATTTTGTTTGATATTTGTATTATGTAATTGGATCTGCACTTTACGTCATTGGAGGAGCAAGAAGGAGATAATGACGGGGGAAATCGAACTCCCAACTTCCTTATTATTAGTGTTGCTGTTCATTGGAGAGTAAAGCGCTTGAACCCTGAGCCTAAAGCCCCTGAGGCGTTAAACCCTAAACCCGAACTCGCGAATTGTCTGTCTTTGTTTGCTTGCTGCAGGGCTCCCCGCCTTTCGCCCTGGGGAGAAGGTGGACCTCTCTGCTGAGGGAAGGGCTGGCGCTGCTGCTGCTTTAGCTGCTGCTGCTGCTGCTGCACAGACACCTGGAGACGCCGCAGCTGCAGGCATTACAGTGGCGAAAGGCACCAACAAAGTTGTTCTTTCTTCTCTCGATGATGACCTTTAAAGAGGACGTGTACTTGCCTGCTCCAGCAGCTGTCTGTACACGTAGAGGAGTGGATTTCGTTTCTTAATCAGCTTATCTGGAGGCGTGAGTTGTTTGTTTTTGTCAAACAAACACTGGAAGCCTCTGCTGATATCTCAGCTGTACGTAGGGCGTCTGTAGTCGATTCTTTGTGTTGAACCCAAAGCCAATGTAGATATATTATAGTTTGAAGCCTCTCACCATTTTGAACCGATTGCTCTGCTTGATGCTCAGCAATTACTAGACGGGACTTGTGGGGGCTCAGCTCCGGCTGAGCCACTGTTCACAGGCACAGTAGACGGCAGCAGCAGCTGCTGCTCCGCTGCAGCAGTTTTCGTTTCAATTCAAAGCCACGTCTCTGTGTGTGGCTAGCTCGTACTTCGCAGAGAGGGGCTGCCCTCCAAGCTTGGCTAGCTGAGGGCGGCTAGAGCGCTGAGAGTGGCGCTCTGTTCTTCTCTGTGGAACTTACGCAGAAGCGAAAGCATGCAATTTTGTTTTGCAGCTGAGACCAACGGGTTGTCTGCTTGCTGTTCGTTTGTGGTTTGCATTGTTTGCTTTTAGAGCTTGTTGTGCATGCGCTGAGCAATAGTTCTGTTTTGCTGTTAAGCCGTGTGGAGGAACTGAGATGAAAAACGCCTGAGGGTGAAACTGTTTTGGGAAAGTCCACAACTTAGCGAAATTCAAAACAAATGAAGAAAAAGTATTTTCACGAGTTTGTTTACTTGTCGCGAAAACAGTTACTTGTCTTTAAGCTGCAGCTTTTGCATACAGCAGAAACAGGCAGAGGAGCCTCCGTCGGTGTTCAAGAGGCTTTCCCTTAGAATTGGGAGGCCTTTGAAATCAAATGTGAAATTAATATGAATGATATGAATTGAATAGTTAATTGGATTCAAATGCGAAGTGAATTCACGTGAAATGAATTCATACATGAAATGAATCTACACATGAAGTACGTTCAAGCATGAAATGAATTCAAACACGAAATAAACTCAAACACGAAGAGAAAAGAGCATAGAAGAACACGAAATGAATTCAAAAATGAATTGCATTTCTGTTGGCGGATATATTTGCCTTGAGTGACGCTTCAACGCATAATACGCTGCAATATTCAAGGCATATTCCATTGAATAAAATTCGATCGCGTGTACAGTCTTGCACCAAGGCATTTAGCTTTTGGTGTTTGAATTCACTTCAGGTTCGTTTGAATACCTTATCAAACAAACGTGAAATGAATTCAACCATGAGAGAAATGGTGTTTGAAATGAATTCAAACAGACTTGAACTGAATTCAAACATCATATGGATTGAAGCATGGAATGAATTCAGAAAAATACAAAATGAATTCGAACATAAAATGCTTATACTTTGTTGGCGTTTTAGCAGCACTTGCTTAGCGGGGGGGCTTCTACCACATATCCCTGCTCCTTCAGATATTGATGTACTTGCGCTACTTTGTCTTTAATATCGGAACTGGAATCGATCGTCAGTTCGGGGTGCTGCGGCGCCTCATAAGGGTCAGAGACGCCTGTGAATTGTTTTATTATGCCTTGTCTTGCTTTCTTGTACAAGTGCTTTATATCGCGTTCCTCGCACACTGACAGCGGCGTGCAAACGTACACCTCAACGTACACCCCTGAACATCACCAAGCATTCAGAACGCAGCCGATGAAAGTCAAATAAACAAACAAACAACTGCAAGACGTGCATCGACAGAGAAAAGGAAATAAAGTAAGCGAGGAGGGGGGTTTTATCCCCCCCTCTTGCCCCGGCCCGCGCAATTGCTACGCACCTCCTTCTTGCTCAATGAGCTTCCTGTTGAATTCCCTGTCGCAGGTGTACGGAGCAATGTTTGCTACAATGCAAATACCCCCGTGTTTCGTAATTTCGCTGGCGATATATCCGATACGCCGCACGTTTGTGCTGTTCACAAAAAGGGAGATATACAGAGGGCTCTCAAGTTGTGAAGGGTTTAAAAGGAGACAACAGAAAGGAAGCACAAACCCAACCCTAAGCCCTAAACTTCGAAGCGTTAAACCCGAGAGTAACAAATGTGCAGATTATTTTCTCATTAATGTTTGAACTTTCCTGCGGTCCTCCCGACTGAATCCGAGGCCTTTAGACAGATGTTGGCGCACGACATCGGCATCAAGAAGAGTTATTTTGCGTCTTTCATTACGGTTCTCGAGAATAGCTGCCTCCAGAGCATTTGCAAGAGTACTCTTCCCTGCAATCAATGTACAACAGCAAACAAACGCTCCCCTTGTGGTGTTTCTCTTGTCGCTGCTGCTGCCGCCGCGGCGTAGGAACAGCTTTGAACTGACAAGCAGCACCGAGGAGAAGCAACAGCCACCAGCAGCAGAAAGAAGGATCACAGATTCCAACAACAACCATATGAAGAAACCCATAGGCAGTAGCAGCAACAGCAGCAGCAGCGGACTGCTGCCAGATTGTTGCTGCAGTTTGCTGCTGCAGCGGCGTCTGGCGCGAACCTGAACATGGCAAGCCAGTAAAATAGACGCAAAGCCCTCTTTCGTGGTTTTGCTTGTAGAACTGCTGGAGCTCATCGATAACTCTGGTAAAGGAAAACCATCCGGGAATTGGCATTCTCGTAGTGAGGCGTTTTCGGAACTCCGTTCCTGAAATAGAATGAACTTCAACGTTGGGATTTTGCCGCTTAATTTCTTCAAGACGGCCTGCAGGTATAAACCCTCCGTGCTCCTCCCCTACATAAAGCATTTCCTCTCCAAAGATTGGCGTTATGCCGAGTTTAGATGCAACAGAGGCTAGCAGCTTGTGGGCGTCATACGGGCCGTAGAAAGGAGTTCTGCAGAACAATAGAGCAAAAGGACATCGTTCTTTTCCCATACTTCAGCGCTGAAACGGAAAACCTGAGGTCGCGAAATAGAGGGAGGAAGGGAACGGAATCGAATTTATCCCCCAGAACGTGTTCCGGCACTGCTCACACACACGCGAACATGCACAAATGCATGTATGCATGCATACATTAATGCACTCACCCGTCTTGCTTTCTCGTTGAAGGTCCTGCGTGATCTCTGCCAACGATGAAGTGGGTGCATCCGTAATTCTTTCGAATGCGTGCATGCAGAACGCATTCTCTGGGGCCTGCCATTCTCATGGCAAGAGGAATGAGTACGAGCATCGCGTTGCTAGACTGATCATCTCCTCCTGTCGCTTCCCCTCTCCAAGTGGTGGAGGCGCCTGAGGCAGGCTGCTGAGTGCGAGGAGGGCTGCGGTTGGGGGTGCTGGCTGAGGTGGGGCAGAGGTGAGGGAATTTGCAGTCAGGGTCTTGTTCAAAATAGCGAATTACGTGTTCGTAGCAGCGAGTGCGGAGGTAATAAGGAACATCTCCCGGTTGTGTAGGCCCAACGACAGGCGTGAGAAGCAGCATAGGGCGTTTCTTCTCTGTTGCTGCTGCCGTTTGAAGCGCGTGTTTAATGAGCTCGTAGTGACTCCTGTGAAGGGGGTTTCTCGTCTGAAACCCAACGACGACATCGTAGTTCCTGTCTTTGATGGTTTGTTTGCAAACTGCTGGCGCCATGCGGTAGTGTTCGAAGTTGAAGTGTACAATGGGATTCACAGGGGTGATCTTTCCTCCTACGTAATAACAGTCGGAGTGATGATCGCGGAGATACTTCACGTACGGGTGGTTGTAGTCGGTGGTTCCCAATACCTTTTGCATTTCCTCTTCCAAGTCCGGCAAATAAACACTCTCCACGTCTAGTTGAGCAATGACGGTTCCCACCTGTAAATATGCAATCAAAAATACAGCACATACAGCGAATCCTGGGGGCTACTCAGCCAAAGAAGATGAACGGAGGTGCTCTCAACAGAGGCATTATGCATAGAGCCATTAGAATTGGGAGCATGACTATTGGAGCTTCGATTTACAGAGTTACCATCAATTCAGGTTATCGTTCAAGCGGAACGAAAGATGAACATAGATACAACGCGGAACCGAAACGGGCAATTCCCATATATACATATATGTATATATATACATATATATATATATATATGTATATATGCATATGCATATATCTATCTGCGTGCGTACTCACCACGTCTCGCAGCATCATACGGCCTTGGCTGTTGCTGACAGAAGGCGCTGAACTCATCCAATAAACATTTGTGGCTGCCGTTTCCCCGCAACAGGCCTTGGGAATGGCGAGCACAATAGGCAATGAAAACACTTCGCCATTTGTCAGCGTCATGGAGTTCAAGACACTTTGCACAACATCGCAACAAAAAGAAATAAATACGCAAGTGAGTAAACGAACAAGCATACAAGGAAACAGGCAAGCAGACAGGCAACTAACTGGGGATAGTTTTTCTTATTCTACCCCTGAAGTGGCAACACGTGTGTATAGGAATGTGGAGTGACGAAGGATTTCCTCTGAAGAAAGAAGATGCATAGCGGTGTTTCACGGCATATTCTGCTCAGTGTGTCCTCCTCTGCCTACCTCTGGTAATCGGAAAGACCCATAAAACCCTGGAGAGGAGCGAAGGCTCCACTAATTATCATTTCAAGGTCGCACATCTGACGCTCGTTCACCGTCCAGTCCGACGGCAGCGCCACGGCAACCGAAACCGCGCCACCACGTGGGGCCGCGTTATCTGCAGAAGACGGCATTGTAGGGTTTTGAAGCAAAAAAAAGAATGGTTTCGACTATGATATATACTTTTAATGATGATTGAAAAAAATGAAGCTCAAATGGAGGAAACGGAAGCAGGTTTCACTGGGCGGGAGACAGAAGGGAGGCGAGCACTTCCCTTGCAGGAAGATTTTGAGGTGTTTAGTGAAAGGCGTTAGTATAGGAGGAGAAGAATAAGCGTTAGAGCTCCATTAAGTCGGGACTTTTGCTTCCGCTATTTGGAGGAAACTTTTCTCTTGTTGTTTACGGAGAAGTGAAGGAAAGGCGAAGACGCCGACGACACACGCGGGCAGCCTGTCCGGGAGACAACAGCTCAGCCGTCTCGCTGCACCCCGATGCTTGCAGTCTGCAGCCTGTTAACCAGCAAAATTTTCCGGAATTGTCAGAAAAACAGAAGCAAACTCTCTATTTTAAAGAATTATCAAATTTTCCCCATCCCCTTGCCAATGCGTTCGACGCCCACACCATTTTATTCTGCATAGACTCCCCACCGAATTGAGCGACGCACACCGGCTCGAATAGTGACACACGCCTGAGTCGTAGTGACTCCACCCCATCAGTTACAATCTATGAAGACACAATTAATAATCATAAACGGGTGAATCGCAAGAAAAGGTTGCGGTTAACAGCCCTCTTGCTGGTCCATCCCAAGCGGCTGGTTTGTGCGTTGCCAGCCAGAAGCGGACCAGGCTGTGGCATGTGGAGAGGCCAGATGTGGATTTTGGGCGAAGTAACCAGTCTTTTGTGTTTATTTTGAAGGAATATGTATATATGGCAGGTACAGTTGAGGATGTTTCTCGTTTTGTGTTGAGTCCAACGGTTGTCCTGCGTGGGCACGCGCCGGTATATTCGCTTACCAACAACCGCTTATCCGAGTAAAACATGCAGAGCCAGCCTTTTCTGAGGCACAATTTGCTCTTATAATGACCTGGGAATGAACAAGAAGGGTACAGCCGTAAAATCTTTCTGAAAATAGCGCATCTTTTATGTGTAATAAATGCTGGTGCACATATATTCTTTGTTCGAGTCACAATTTGCTCTTCGTATGTCCCCTGAGCATGCACAGCCTTTTGTAAAGCCTGCTATGCGGCATTTTAATGCTTTCTGTTGCGCCTGGAGTCCGCTGTAGACGCACACATGCACCTCACCACGGCCAGGCGATGGCCTGACGAACAGTGAGTGTCAAAGGAGATCTTTCTCAGAGTGTTACTCTCTGCCTTACCATTACATTTTACAATTGAAGGTTTATGTGGCTTCACCGATACGATAAAAAGGGGATGGCATGCGACAAGGCAGAATTGATCTTCCCCTCTCAGACTGCAGCACCCGCTGAACCTCTCTCAATTTGAGTGGCGTGAAAATTGAGCGGTTAGACGGTATGCAACACCCCTTTATTCAAAGACGAAGAGCAAGGGAGATGAAGAAAAGCCCCTCGGGTTTAATTCAGTACCTCGACGATGGGTTTCTACCCCTCCAGGCGCTGTAAGTAACGATGTTGGGAGGTCTCAAACGCCTCTAAGGAAAAGCGCGTTGCACTCTCATGTAAACCCATCCTTCTAACCTTCCTCTTTCTATTTCAGCAGATCGCGGGTGGATTAGAAGACAACTCTGTGTTTGAAAGCCCCCGAAACGAGAATTTCAAAATCCAGCATTCCCTTTAACCTTTTCTTTGCCAGGTGGAGGCACTTCGTTCCGCTTCAGAGCATTTTTATTCGGTGGGCTGTGTTGTTCGTGGAGCGTGAAAATATATCGACTGTCATAATCCAATTTCGACTCACTTTGCCCTTCATATTGTAACCGATTTTTGTCTACACTTCTTGCAAACACTTCCAAGTACAAATTAGATCGATTAAAATTTTAGATAGATTAAAATAACGGGATGTCCCCCCTGCCTCAGTGTCGAAGTACGCCGGCCGAAGACCCCAACATTCTGGAATGTGAAGGACTCCCCGTTGATCTCCGTCTAATTATACCCTTTTTCCTCTCCCTTTGCTTTGGAACCCGCATAGGACCACCGCTTTCTGTGGGCTTCGACGGGCTATTCACCTGGAGATACTCTAAGAACTGCAGCGAGGGCCTGGTCTGGTTTCATCTCGCACACCCACATTTGGTGGAGAAGGCACCGCAGTCTCAAGACGAAGTACTCAAAACAACAAGAACACGGAATATATTTGACTCTATAAGAAGTTAATGATGCTAAAGAAGCAAAATCTTCTTTCCGGTTGGCTGCTCCCTCGATCCACTCACTCGTCGCTCCAGCGCCCGGTGCTTTCCCTACGCACTGTGCAGTTGCCAGCCTCCCGCTACGCCGAGATTGATTGCCCAATTGATTTTGTTCCAATATTAAAAACTAATTTAAAGCGAAAACATGCAGGTTCGGTTGGGGTTCGTACCATGTCGGAGCCATATATCAATGGAGAGTTGAACGCCGTAGAGCTGCTACACCCTTGCAGTTAAATGCAATTCACACAGGCTTGATGGGTTTTAAATTCCAAAATCCTTGAAATAACTAATTTTAACTCAAAAACAGCTTGAAAAACAAATGTCTTGGAGGGGAAACAGCGCTGGCTAACCTACCCACCTCAACTCTCCCGTTGGTTACCCGGTTGGGTGAACCGGGCACCAACAGCTGCAGTCCAGCAGGCGGGCGGTTCGATGGATTCAGAATCCATTCACTTCTTATTACTTTCTTATATCTTCGTTTGAACTTGTTTTGGGTTATCTGCCTAAAAAGCACCAAAAAATTCTCAGGGGCCGTGTGTACAGCAGCTGCCTCCACAACAGTCAACGCCTGCGATCACCCGACCGCCCGCTGATGCGCCTGCGTCGCATCGCATCCTGTCTGGCTGGTTTCTTCTTGTCAGCTGACTGAGGTTTACGTCGGTGTTTTATTGAGTTTGTTATTACTTATCTCTTGTGTATCTAAGGAGAATAAGCCGGTTAAGAAGGAGAAGGAAGCAGGCGGCGATGTGCAAGAGCAGGCGTTCCTCTGCAGGATTCCTTACCATTCAGGGCGCAGTGCAGCGGCAGCGCCGATATGTACTCAAGCCGGTGTGCATAGGTTGTTTATTATATTAATATACCTCTTAACTTTGGTTTGTAGTTATTTTCTATGATTCGGAAGACAAATGCATCTGGGGAGGATTCACAAAGCGCCACTATCCCCTCTGAGCTGCTTGTGCTGGCTGTGCAGTGCACAGAGTCCGTGGATGCTGTTGGCTGGCGGTGGGTCAGCTGGTGGTGATTGTGGACCGCCCGTTTCCTCTCATCTCCGGGACCTCTTGAAGGCCTTCTCTTGCTTCATTAGAGGAACATTGTCTTAAGATTCTAGTTTTATATTGCAGTGGCGTCTACTACACAGGCAACCCGTCCTTCTTCCACTCAACACACATCATCTTACTCGCCTCTGCCAGGCGCGCAGCTACGGGTTCAGGTCACTCGCGGCAGCGTCCAGCCTTTTAGGAGGAGTTCGGGAGTTCTGCTTCTTTGTAATTCTGTTTTATCGAATTAGAAGCTCCTAGCGCGCCTTATTATTCAAGAGACGCGGCGTCCCTCTATGTGCTGTGGCGGCCACCAGCATCTCAGCGGGCAGGGCGCGGTCCGTAGGGGGAGGGAGAGGAGATACCAAACACACAACAAACAGACAAAAGAGGCAACAACACCATCTTTGGAAACGTAGCAGCAGATTTTCAAGGGATTGCTTGAGGGGCTCGTCTCTCGAATGCTGAGGAGAACTGGGAGGTGCCGTTGCATCTCACAGACCAACGTCATCTCTCTAGAAGGGGAGATAAAAACAGCGTGGGTGTTGCTCAACGCTCATTTGTTGCACCACCAGAAGAGTGGGCGCTCAATTTGTTTCCTCGCGATAGACCAGCAGCCATTCCGATAGGTCAACGGTAGACGTTGAAGGAGTTTTATCTTCTTGGCGCGGTTTCATCTTCGTCAGCCGTTTGTAGCGTGATCTCCATCCAGCCCCCCGATACACACACAAAAACTCATACACATACACCTCATAGGATAAACCTCAGGCATCCTGCTTGTTACCGCCTCTTAGGGTTCTGTTCCGCATAATAGCCCGTGTGTGAATAATATGGTCGCCACCGGAGGGGTGCCCTCAGGGGCCCCGGTTTCTTCTAGGTCCAACAGACAGTGGGAAATCGTAACGCCTGTTAGCTCCCAGACGCGAGAGGAGCGGCTGGCTAGGGAATTGGCGGTTCTTGAACTGAGCAGACGGATGTTGAGTTCCCGTGCGACGAACTCAGCACACCACACCGCCACCAGCAGGGAAACAGACAAGACAGGCAGCAGGGGAACAGACGCTAGTGGGTGGAATGGTGGGGGCCCTCATCATCATCATGCCTTGGAAGAAGGAGGCGCCAATACAGCAGGCGGATTATCGCCAGAGGAATTTGCTGCCGCCTTCGAGCGATATATGGCGGGATGCGTGCTGCAGCAGGTTAACGAGGCTCAACAGCAACAACACCAGCAGCAGCATACTCCGTTCACGTCCGCAGACACTGCTGCCCTGCTGTCATCAGCAGTGGATCTGTCTGGGTTACGTGAGGGCGTGCAGATGACGTCGTCTTCAGGAGGGAGGACAAACGAGGCTGCCAGGAGCTCCTCCTCCTCTTCTTCTTCATTTCCTTCGTCTTCTTCCTCTTCAAGCCGTGTGACTGGGTCCCATTCTCAGCTGGCCAGCGCAGCGCATGCAGCAGCAGCAACAGCGGCAGCAGAGGGAGCTGCTGCGCGTTCAGGCGGCGAGTTGGAGGGGCGTCGACCTGTGGTCAGTCAGGGACAGGACGCGACGGATTTTCAGACTTTTATGGCAGAGTTCGCCTCAGGAGACGCCGCTGAATTCCTGTCGGGAGCTGGAGGAGGAAGAGGCAGCACAACAGCAGCGGCAGCAGTTGCTGCTGCTGCATCCGGCAGAGATGGGACCGCCACCAGCAACCCCAGCCACCTCCATGAAGGACTAATCTTAGGCAGGGGAGGAGGTAGCCAAGAGGAAGATCTCTTCAGCACTTCCCTTTTCTCTCGGCTGATGCAGGAGTGCCAGTCACACTGCGGGGCGGACTTTGACTTGAACAGCGAACAAGTGGGGGCGGCCAACTGCATCAGAATGGGGGGGGAAGGGAGCGCTCGGCTTGCTGCTGTGTCAGCCGAACTCCTGGCGTTTCTGCAGCAGCACCATCTGAACAAGCTGGCGGAAAAGCCAGAGACGGCGAAACGGCTGCTAGCCAGCGCCAACAGCACTGCATGCAACAGCAACATTAACAGCCGGAGAACGAGCAACTGCAGTCCGGGAGCTGAGGACGAAGAGGAAGTTCGGGCCTACAAGCGCCGCTTCTTAGAAATGCACCTCCTGGACCAGAGACGCACCAGCTTTGCCAGCAGCAGCAGCAGCAGCGGCAGCAGCGATATGAGGCTGCTTGCAGCATCCCTTGCAGGGCCCCGAGAGGGTGGTGAATGCGGCGGGGAGGGAACAGACGCCGCAGGTGCAGGTGCGGTGGAGCGCAGGGCGAAACAGCCGGGTCATGAGTTGGTCTTGGGCGGGGTTACGAGCGACTCGCCTTCGAATCCGTCGTCGCCTTCTTACTTGGCAGAGCTGCAGCTGATAGAACGTGTGGCGGGAGGTGGAGATCCTTTCTTGCAAGAAGACGCTCTGGGAGGTTCATCATTCAGGGGGCCCTTGGGTTACTACAGCGTTTGTGAAGGTGCAGGCAAAGATGATTGCGCTAGCCAACGCCTCTACCCCATAGTTCGAGGTGTTTCGCGAGACAACACCAAGAAACGATGGGCTGTGTACTGGAAAGGATACAGACGTTACTTCTACGACAAGTTCTTCGAAAGCTGTGTAGAGGCGTACAGGAGAGCCGTGCAGTTCAGACAACAGGCCACCACTGCAGCAGCAGCTGTCACCGCCACAGGGAATCCCGCACATCTTATTGCTGCGGGGCTGCACGGATCGCCTGGGGGAGGCGGCAGCAACGCCAAACACCATCAGCTAAAGGCAGAACACTCCGAATGCGTGGCCGCTGCCCTGGCCTCTGCTGCTGCTGCTGTTGCAAGCCAGTCGAATGGGCGCAAGGGCAAATATGCGTCGCCTGCTGCTGGCGGGCATGGCACACGGGACGACAGAACAGTGGTTTGTTTGTATAAGGAAGCCATTCTCTTCATTCTGGAGGATCTGAGGAACAACGTGCTAGCCCAGTATCTCACCTCCAGGGCGGCTCTCTGCGCCAGCGCTGCCACCACCACTATTGGGCAAGCAGCCTCTCCAGGGGAACTGGCAGCTGCCACTACAGCCAAGCGTCTCATGGATCAGACGTTGCTGATGCACACAAACGTCGTGGGAAACGCCACCTCCACTGCAGAACTGCAACCATCTCTAATGATTATTGCCCCCTGTCTCGAGGAGTTGAAGCTTCCGAGCCAGCAGACGCCACAGCAACAGCTGTCACTCATGCAGTCCATTCTTGCTATGCATATTCAGCAACTTGTGTTGCTGTCGCGGTACCTCAACAAAGGGATCGCCGCCTTGCCTGAAGGGGGTGCCGCCGGTAGTGCCGGCGAGCAATCCAGGCATCCGGATGTCAAGGGAGAGAGCGAACAGACAGAAACTGCAACTGGCCCTGTTCATGATGATTTGCAGGAGCAACAGACTGCTCCAGCAAATGCAGGAAGCACTATCGGTGTTCCCGCGTAGCCAAGCGTTTCAGGTGTAGGAGGCCTCAATTTTTGCAATTGGTTTGAGCTGCAGAAGGCATCATTGGGATGCATCTGGACCACCATGTTCCGCCAGTTTAAAGAAGATGTTTGCAATGCTTGTCTCAGAGGGGACTTGCACCATCAGCGGGTGTTGGCGTCCGTGCGCTGCGCCAGATGGGTTTCATATAGATTGTACGGCGCGTTATGCATACGATAGTGTGTACAAAGATATGTGCCAAGCCGTTCACCAGGCCGTGGGAAAACGTATCTGTTCAAACGCAGTACTGCTACGCGCGTTCGTGGTGCAGTATGGAGGTACAGAAGTGCTCCATTTAGCGGAGAACAAATTATGGTGGTGTGCTGTACAGGGGTTATATGCACTTGGTAGCGTATGCTGAATTGAAAAGCCGCGAATGGTACGTGGCTGGGCATCTCAGTAAAATTCCGGCACCGTCATGTGCCGATGTACCACTTCAACTACATTATGGTAGTGATTGGCTCGTTGATTGGTTGAGCGCCAGTGGTACTTTCAAGAGCGGTAAAGGGCTGCAGCCGTACTAATGGTTTTCCGAGGCAGTATTGCGCCCTTGGAGGTACAGGTGACTTGTGCGGTCAATTTTTGGACAGATGAGAGGATTTCTTCCTTTATTTTGTTGGATAGCAGTGGTGGAACGGTGTGGCAGAGGGTTGCAAGGTCAGTCAGAAGGACGTCATAGTAGGGAAGGGTAACCGCGTGGTTGATCAAATTATGAGCACATTTAGGTAAGTGTTCACTTATAGAGATGGAGCCACACAGTAGCCGATGTACAAAAAGAACAGATGCGAAGTCAACTACTCTCACCATAGGCGAGTCTTTGGGATAGTGGCCCGTTGAGAAGCGTGCACTGGTCAAGAACTCGCGCTAATTTTGCGTTATTTTCAGTGGCGCTGAAGGACGTCTAGGAGGATTGGCTTGCTAGAATCGTAGTCCCTGCTGAAAAAAAGATGCAACGTCTCATGGGTTATGGTGTCTGCGTCTGGCTTGCTGCGTGTTTCAAAAAGAAGTGGTCACCATGCATCCAACGAGACTCAGAACATCCTGCACGTAACACCAGTTTACTGCATAAGGGAAGAATGTTCCAAATGCGATTGTTTCGAGAGAGCCTATATTTAACGTCTCGCATAGCTTTGCACGTCGTTTCATTCCAATATTCTCCCTACAAAATCTTGAGGTATTCCGTTAGAAACGGGAGGAGTTTCGTGCCACTCGTTCAGAACCAGAATATGCCCAGTTTTCAGAGAAAAAGGTCTGCTCAGTATATTTGCAATTCTAATATTTGAACGCACGCTTCTGCCATCAATTTTTTTGCAGAAAAAAAAATGGGCCGAAGTAAAAATGACCAGCTCATTGCGCCGACGCTGCGAGGCGGCGTCGATACACCCCATGACGCTAACCCGTGAGCCGCCAGGGTTACTTCGAGTTTCATATTTGCAGAGTGCGGCGCGCGTAGGCTGACATTATTCTGACTCCACTTTGCTTCATCTTCAGAGTAGATGCTCGCGACGATGAAATTCCTTGCCCCCGTTTTCCTTGTTGGCTGCGTCTACACCGCCGGAACAGTCGCGGACGAGTCTGCAGTCGGCGCAGCGACTCCTGTGGAAGACACTGTAAATGGGGTCAAAACCACTCTGAACTTTGCTGGGAAGTACACCAACAGCTGCTTCTCCGTCCCTAATTCTCTCTGCTTTGGTAAGGTTTTCACTTGTTACTGGCTATTGGCATCCGTCCATTCATAACCGCTTCTCCTAGGTGGTACTGAGCAGATCGTCTCTGGAAACTCAGTGCCGGAAGGTCTAGGAGCATGGCTGACATTTGACCACCTATATTCCGCTGACCAAAGCGGAAATGGGAACCACATGCATAGAACCCCAAGGGCTGGCCCAGGCCACAACGGTGAGATCATTTCTGCTTAAAAGTTCAGCAACGGGTGCATGGACGCACTAAATAGGTCGCGGTGCCAGTGCTGCCTTTGTTAAGGGTGCCAGCAGCAAAATCAAGTCCAGCCCGTCTCTAGAGTCCCCAGATTTCACAGTGTAAGCAAACACCACCATCGTTCATCCACGCAAACGCATTCCTACCGTTTCCGCAGCTCCTTTTGGATGTACTTGTTGAGCGACTCAAATGGCCTTTTCCGCAACATTGTTTCAAAGGGGTAAGCCGAATTCAAGCATGTTCCCGGATATATATCTCTTCATGTGGATCCAGGAGCGAGATGTCCCAGACACCTTCCATCCTCCTCTACCCTGACAGCCGCCGTCTCTCCGTTCGCGTTACAACTGACGATAGCGGTTCTGAGGGCATGCCTTCAACGGGAAGTCTCCCACTCAGACGCTGGACTCACGTTGCGGTTACTGCAACTCAGAACAGGCTCAAGCTATTTCTGAATGTAAGGTTTATTCAAGGCAATCCTCAAGCTGAACGCTTTCCAAACTCCTGAAACTTTTCCAGGGCATGAAGGACAGCGAAGTGGTGAGTAAAGCCGTGCAGTCCACACATCGACTCCCCCTCCTAACTACACGCCACAGTTCCTTCGGGGCAACGTAGTGCCGAACACTGAAGACATCGTGGTTGGAGCTTCCATTGAGAACCCCGGCTTCGAGGTAAAGTGTACCACTGTTAGAACTTCCATTCCATGTTTCATTCCATGTCATCCAGGGTTACATTGATGACTTCCGCGTATACACCAAGGGACTTTCTGTAAGCGCAACCAGGCTCTGAGTATCTCGTTTAACAACAGTTTAAAACCGTCGTCAGGACAATGAAGTATCAGCCATGACCATGCCCGCGTTGACTGGTGTACCAGACTCCGAATTCGTTTCGCTAGGTGAGATCAGAAGCTTTCACTACTACAAAAGCATGCGGCAACCAGCAGAATGAGCAGGCTGCGACTCTTGTGGATATGACTTCGCAATGAACTCCAACATGTGTGGAGAGCCCGCAGCTCACCTTTGCTCACTGCAAGAACTCTACCAGGGTGGTATTCATGCGGCACGCATCAACGGTACGGGATACTCAAACATGTAATTCCCGTCATAGATTCATCACTCGACTCTTTATAGGACTACTGAACTCCAAAACGGAGATGTGGCACAGCGACATGACCGCCGGCGAAATGGGAAACAATGAAAGCCGCATGGCATTATGCTGTGCTGCATCCCGCGGGTCGGAAAGCGCATAGTCAACCGAAACAAACGGTCGTATGCTTGTGTGAACGTTCAAACAATTTTGTTTTGTCATCGAGACGACGTGGGTCGATTGATGAGAGTGAGATTTCGGGTGGTTTCAACACAATCCAATACATAGAAACCCAGCACTATGACTACTAGGCAGCAAGTTTCGTCATTAGTTGAACAAATTAGTATTCCGGCAAGTTTTGAAAAAAATGTTTCCGAGTGCACTCCAGCATCTCATCTCTTAATCGAGACGTAGATATGGCCGTTTGTAAAATTCTGGTCCATGGTTACTGCGTTGGACGACACTCGGAATTTCAGCGGCACCCGGAGTCGAAGTCGGCAAGTGGAAGGATCACCTGTGCAGATGACAATCAGCATGACTGGCTTTTGTCCGTGCCGTTGTTCTGCCATGTGCCTGCAAACTTTAATGTATCATCGCTTGCTTCAATCAACCACGAAAGCCACTTCTTGTTTCTGTTACCTGGAAGCTGGATCCGCCAAGTAGGATCATTAAGTCGCCCGGAAAAGAGTAAAGTATTCGTGGCAAATTCTCGTCTAACGTTTTCAATCGTTCCTCCTGAAGCAACGATTTTTCCAAAGAATGCATAGGGGACTCTGAAAGGTACTGGTTACGTGACAGCCTCAGTGTGATGCTTAGCAGTCCACAAAGCCCAAGCTCCGGGAGAACGATTCAACCTGAGGAAGTGCTTGATTGCCTAGCTCTTTCCTCACACCCTCCAGACTTCTTGTTCACTACAAATATGGTGCTGATTGCTTTAGAAGTGATCTTTGAGCAACGTCGCTGGAAAAGGTTCAATTCGTTCACACCTGGGAGTACGACTTCGACTTCAAAAGAGTTCTGATGCTCTGCTGCCCGATAAAGAAATCTGTGGGAAGCATCCTTGAGAGCAGACAGGTTATGCTTTTCCTGGAATTGTCCTTGACCTGAACGCCTGTAAGCTAGTCGACCTTCGTTGCGTACTTCCTTCTGGAGCACGTAGTGCACAAATACTGCAAGGAGATGTCATTTAACTCTCTCGGAGGTAAGAAAAATGAATGCGTATTTGGCAATGTTTTGTAAAGTTCGTGCCTCGAACTACCGATAAAATACACCGTCTGCTTGTTGATGTGAGGAAATACCATACCTGCGGAAAAGAAAGGCAGGCCTCGCTTGGCCTGTTCACATTGCAGAAGACAGAAGGCCTTAAATTTGGATTCAGTTAAAGTACTCGTTGTATGCTGTCCTCAATGCACAAGAGGAATCGACGACCGCGAGTCGAAAAGAAAGCGGGTGACTCACGCACGCTCCTGGATATTATCGTCACAGGATGTTGCATATCCGGGCGGAAGGTACGCTGCAGTTCCCGCAAGTTGCGCGTCTTTAGGATTGCCGCTGAATGTGCCACTCTTATTCAGTGAGCTGTATTGGAGTCCCAGAGCGGAACCGGCCTGGTCAATTGTATTCTTACTGGGAACTGATAATGTGGCAGTGCTGCTTTGAACACACTCTGGAAGGGATACTTTGTCGTAGCTGTAGGGATTTTCCTTGCCGTCGCCATAGCAGGGTTGAATCGTCTGCTGACCTTCCCGCTTGGAATTTATGAATTGAGACAGTATTTGATTACCAGAATGGTTGGTTGTGCTCTGGGTCTGTTCTAGGTCTGCTGAGCAATGCGAAACGTTGTAACGCCACGATAAAATGTATCCCTCTGCTGCAAGGGAGAGGAAATTGACTGATGGATCACGCCTAATTGTAAGCTCTGAACAAGCAGTCTCATAAGGACCCAGTTGCACGTAGTACAGTAATGCAGTTGGTGCGGAAACGTGCGGCAACTTCATAGAGGCGAATTGAATAACTACATCTTCCAAGCGTTTCTCCTTGCGTGGTTTTGAAGGTACTTCGGAGTTCCAGCTCAGCTTGGGGTGGCTCTGCGTAGAAGCGCTTGTCGCTGAAGCTGAACTAATCGACTCCGTGCTTGGAACTCGTCCAAGCTCACGAAACAGACTCGCAAGCCCGGCTCCTCTATGAAACCTGGAAGTATGGGTAGGGGTTTTCTGAGCTATGCACGACGTGTTGATTTGCGTCACGCGTTCCGCTTCATGGTTTGTAATGTTTCGGCTCTGGTCATTCAGTTGCTGGGTTTCCGGCTGCTTCTTTGCGGTGGAACATGAAATTTGCATCCCCAACAAGATTCGTCGTTCACTTTCGTACGCTAGGCATAGCCGGCTTGACCCGATACATGCAGTCAGGAGCAAGGGGGCAGCCAGCACACGTAAATTCCTCTGCGCAAACAACGAAGACGGATAGGCGTGGCATTCGATACTCCCAAGAATGACCGCTCGGTAATTCACAAACCTTGTGATGCAGAAGACCGAATTATTGAAAGAAAGTGTTGATTCTTGTGAAGTTTGGCAGGCGTCTCACAAACTACAAACTAACATTTCTGGCAAAGTAGATGCAACGGGCTATGCTTACAATGCCCCAGAGCATACAAATTTTCTCGGCATTTAAGATAAGGGTTTGGCGAGTTTGCTTACATTCCCTCTGGCAAAGGCTTTATGCAAAGCCGCGTGCAGAGCACCACCGGGAGAACGAGAGGTTCCTTCAGGCCCCACGACGAGGGGAGAGGGTAGCGACAAAGGGACAAACGAGTCAAGGGCATTGGCATCCTGCGCAACGGAGAAATTGACAGTATATCCGTGTAGTTCCGTGCACATATTGCCACAGGATGTCTCTACGGCAACTATAGTGTTTAGTGCAAGTTCAACAAAATGCTGTACGGGTGTGGAACCGCACTTCTGTCAAGGAGCTGACGAGCAAACGACCCTCGGGAATGGAAAAGACGCTTGGCGGGGCATTAGGACCGGTGACAAGCAGCTGCTCCTGCACCCCATGCGCACACGCCATACCCATGCACGCGCTGCAACTTCTTCTTGCAGATGGTCAACTTTTTTCGTGATTGTATGATCGCGTTTCAAGCATTTCCCAAGCTCAATGCGTGGGCCACAATTAGGGGGATTGTGACGGTCCGCAGACTCTTAAATGAATAGGAGTCCAGGATTAATTCGTGTGTACTTGATGGAGAGAAGTCTGTCCAAAATGAAGCAGTTTGGGGGGGGTGGCGAAGGGGATGTGCAGAGTTGCCACAAGTTCCACCTCGAGGATGAAGGAGGCCGCTTTTGAGTTCTGCAAATAATTGTCGCCGCAAGGCCCCCTGCTACCCAGCAAAGTTCCAGCAGAGATTGAGTCTAAATTCACTCTCTCCCCGACGTGGTGAGGGAGAGAGATGAGCCGGTAACAGCTGACGTGGCCTGCCGCACTCGCGACAGCTAAAATTCCTCTCGCACCATCCAACCCCAGAGCAGAAATACACCCTGGAAGAAAGAACACCATAAGCATCGTGCACCACCTTCACCTGAATTTGTGTAACTGTAGACTGCAAATATAGCCCTGAAATATTTCGCTGTTGTCTAACTCGTTGGCCTGTGATGCTAACTGGGGGTTATTTGCCGGTCTAATGACAACACCGGAGGCTCCAGTATTCCTTGGGCGTTCTGCTGCAGAGCTAAAAGGATGACTGTTCCCTCCTCCGTCCCGGCAGCAACGAGCCCTTGAGCTTCGCCTCTTGTCGCTCCGGCGGCAACAGCTGTGATAGGCGACTTGAAGTAGAAAGGAAGCGCTGCAGCAAATGTACCAAAACACTAAACTGCAAGGGCACCGGTTAGTGCTACAGCCTTTTTTTGCAGAAGCGGGAGTTATGTATCTCGAGAACGAGTTGAACTCTGAGCTCTTCATAAGTTGCTACGGCTTATGCTCCACCTGCTCGTTTACTAGCTGGGGGTTGCAGCGCATGCGTGCCCATGCAGATGACACAATCAATTTAGGGTTTCCCGCACTTGAGCGCGACTGGGGGTGAAACTCCCAAAGGCGAAGTTCTCCTCCAACGCAGCACCGGCCTCCAGTAACGATAACGGAGGCCTCGTTAGCTGGTGGGTTTAGCCCCTGTTGCTGCTGCAGCAGCTCTTGTGTTGCATTTAGGCTGCAGTGAGGAGGCGGTGTGGAGGGTGCAGGAGGCTCGGGGTAGGCGGGAAGGGAGAGGAGAGTTGCGACATCGAGAGAACCCAAGGGTCTGTCTTGCAGAACAAGAGAAGCTTCCTCTGAAAGGTGTAAGGCGTCTAGGAGCATCATTTGAGTTCGAGTTGATAGAAGAAGGAACGGCTCACTCCAATACACCCCCATAATTTGCGAGCTGTGCAGAGGCAGCCAAAGCGCCCCGCTCCCTCCTTTCCCCCGATTTTTTTGCAGCTGTCTACTGGCCACTTGCAGGGTTGTCAAAGACCGCTTGGGCCGCAACTCCCGCACTGCAGCGGCAGCCGCCTCTACGCACTGCGCAGGGCCGGGCTGCCTCTTTACACTCCGCTTCCGCATCAGCTGCTGCTGCTGTTGTTGTTCAGTTAATTGGCCGTTTCTGCAGACACTGCTGCGCGTGCTGATGCGACTGACGGCGGAGGAAGACCGGCGGAGGGAGGATGCGGCGTTCTTTGGCGCACGACGAGTGAAGCTTCTTCTGCTCCCTGCTGCACTCGCTGGCCTTGAGAGCGACTGGCGTCTGCTTCCGGAACTCCAAGGCCGGCCCACAGAGTCCCCGTAAGTGCTTCGCGGTGTTCTTGCGGGTGCATGCACCGACCCTGTGGCGAATGGAGCGGGCGGAACGGGCGATCGAGGCCTTCCCGGTGAACGAGGCCTCCCGATGGTTTTGAGTGTTGAGGCTGTGGCCACTCCGCTTCCCTGCTGTCTCCGCTGAAGCGTGCGCTGGTTGGAAAGGGAGAAACGCTGAGGTAGGCGAGTTGATGTGGCGGTGTTGGGGAGTGCAGGTGGAGCCGGAGGTGCAAGGTGGTCTTCTTGGTGAACAGGCTGTGTGTATACATCCGAACTGCGGGGTGCAGAGGGTTGACCAGCACCAGCTGAAGTCAAAGCACTGAGAGGCAGCAGCTGTACGAGACCCTCCTGCGCCGCCAGCAGCAGCAGACTCTTCTGCAGCGGTTGCAGCAACAGAATCTTGCTGCTGCAAGACGGCACCGAGACGGAGCGGAGAGGGGTCAGGCCTCTAAATACAACAATGCGTCTGTCAGCGAGAGCAGCAATTATATCTCCTGAAGGCAAGAAGGAACAGGCAGTGGCCTCTGGAGGCCCCATTGGGCTCCCCTCTCCTCCTCCCATACGAGAGATGCACAAACTTTTATGCGAAGGAGGTTGAGAAGGCCGGTCACTGTTGACACTCCAAAGGCGGAGATGGCCTAAGCCAAATGTGGCGAAGCGAATCAACCCGCCCTCGCAGCTGCTGCTGTACCTTGCAGTCATTTCAGATTGTGTTTCCCCTCCGTAATGAGGTGCACATACACCCGACGCGCATTTCCACCTGCAGCGGCCTCTGTTAACGCTGCACTGCCCCGCCATTCTCGTCGAGGTCTCAAGGGTCAAACCATTTAAGAGGGATCGAGTGCAGGGGGTGAGATGGGTGGCTTGTAAGAGCGGCAGTGGACAAGGGTTTTGGATGTTCGTATCGGCAGGCGTCTGTCTGTGTACCGCCTGGGAGACGTTGAAGTACACCGCAAGAGAATGCTGAGGGTCTGAGAGTAGCAGCAGCAGCAAACTGCCGTTGTGGCTGAACTGAGCTGACAAGACGTCGTGCCGAGATGGAAGTTGCACCAACGCCGCCTCCTCCAGGCTGTACGGACACCAGAGCCGGCAAAGAGGCAAAGGCCCAGATCCCTTGCTGCCCGTCTGCTGCTCAGCTGAAACAGAAGACGCAACGAGTGAAATCGACACGGCGGAGAGCTCAAACCACTGCGTGCAAGAAAACGAGAAGAAAACCTGCTTTCCCCTGTTTTCATTCTGCTCTACCTTCCCTCCTTCCTTATCGGTGCAAAGTCTCCTCTGCAAATTGTTTATTTATTGAATTTTTGTCTCTGGAGAATAGCAGAAAAAGAGAGGGAGGGATGCTTCTTCGGGGTTTATTTCTGCTCAAGCTTACCAGACAAGCAGAGGTTGAGGGCCTGGGAGTAGACAAGAAGGTTTACTTTGTTGCAATGAGCCGAATATATTCTTTCTGAGTACAAACGAGATGGGGATGACGGCCCCATTGGGGGTGGGTCCAGCTGAACAGGAGGCAGCAGAGGAGGCACAGAGCTCTGAGTGTCATTTTCTCGCGTTTTGTTTGTCTCTTTTGCATGTTCACCAGCAGCAGATAGCCCCCGCCGCCGCTGCTGCTGCTGCTGTAGACAGCCTGTGGCGGGAATTAAGGCGCCTCTTGTTGCCTCCCCCTCTGTATTGACAGCAGGGCCCCGCACGATGCACCAGGAACCGAGGCAGTATACGAGGAGGTGGTCGTTCAGTGCCTCACACCTCAACGCTGATCGACTGAAAAAAGGAATTACTGCTGCCGACTGCCGAGAGAAAGAAGAAAAGCCCCAGCAAGAAGAGAAGGTCAACGAAGAAGAAGAAGCAGTAGACGAAGCTGGGAAGACAGCAGAGGCAGGCGCAGAGCATGCACCCCCACCTTCTTCCGAACCCCCCCCAGGATCTGCATTGCATGAATTTACGCCCAAATCTGACCACATGCTAAACTGGTCCTTTCCGTTCCCTGCTGCCTCGCCAGGAGATGTACAAAAACAAGTATCGGTATTTACTGAGGCAGCCATTCAATCACAACTCCCCAGAGGCAGAGACTGGGTCAGGCCTGGACTTTGTTTTAAGCTGTATCATGGATTCAAAGGGAAAGGGAAGAATAATACACGGTTTCAGTGAAACCGTTCAAACAACTGTGGCCTACAAATTCTGCAACCGTCGGCGTCGGCGGCGGTCGTGCCAGTTGGGGTGGCGCTGGCTTTGCTTATTTAATTCAACGTCCATTTACACTTAAATTAATTAAACATTCAGAGGTGATTTTCTTGCTGTTTTTGTCCTCTGATGGATTTGCAGTGCTTCTTTCTCCTCTGCGTCTGAGGTTCGGCTGTCTAGGCAGCAGAAGAGGCGCAGCTGCGTCTCCCAGGAGGTGCAGAGGGGAAACGCTAGAGAATTAAGAGGTTGTAGCCTACTCAAATACCTTTTAAACCATTTTAGTTTTCGAATTTTGTTTTGATTGTTGAAATTGGAGGCGAATCGCGGCCATTAACTTCACCACGCCGCGACGGCGGCCAGTTGTTGCCCAGTCCGGTGTCTGTGGCCCCCCGCCTCGTGCATTGCTCTGCGGGTAAAGGAAAAGGAAAAGAAAAGATATAGATCAACCGGCTCCTTTAATAGAGCCTTTTATTCAATAAGCAATTCAACTGCAAAGTATAAGTCTGCTTGCTCCTGCTTCTTCGTGAGTTTCCACGTGGGCAAAGTGAGGCGCCTCGCCGACGGTTCAGCGGATCGAGCAGCAGCAGCTAGCACGACCCGTGTTCATCATTATTTGAACTAAACAGGAAAAAATATATACAACGATTTGTTTTGTACTTTGAACTAATTTTTTCAACAGCTCCGTAGAGCACGTGAACAATGGATAAAGCGTCGGCGGCAGTCACCATTAATCAGTCATTTCGCTGCAAATCGCGCGACTGAACAGAGCAAGCGAAATTACTTGTAAAGGGGCGTTCATGACTGGTTTTAATCATTTGGTCAAGCTTTCAGATTTTTTATGGATTAGAGCAGGGCATTTATATGCAAGATGCGTCATTGGGACGCCTCAGCGTGTCAGGCGCATCGGCAATTCGTGGGGATGCAGCTCGTTGCGGATCGGCAGTATAGTTGTCGCTAAGACGCAGGAAAAGAAAGGTTAAGTTTTGATTTTTAATTTAAGAAGGAGAGCCATTTTGATTATTATTATGGGCGACATCTACTGCTCTGTTGAGCTCCCGATGCGGCCTACCACGTGGTTAAAAACCCGAGCGAACTACTATCAATTGAACGATATCCTCAAACGATAGATCCACAGATATTAGGGAGAAAACTTCAAGTACTTCACAAACACCCATGGTCAATTGCGCGGCAGAGACAAGGGGAGCAAAGAACGCCAGCCAAGTTCGAACATTCATTTAAGAATTTGTCGACAACAAACTGTGAAGATGACGCGCTTAAAATTTGTCTTAATGAGTCCGGTCCCTCTCAGCTGCTGCAGATGAAGCAGCAGGGTTTACTGCAGCTGGATTAGCGGAAGCATATCAGCGGATTTTCGGTTATATGTTCGCTACTGAAGTCGAGTTCACAGTGAGCTTAAATAGCCTTTATTTGCAACAACTGGGTGTACTGGCACGCGAATTTCCCTCCCTCTGACTTTCTCTGTAGCAACTGCGGCAGCAAATACACTGTTCATCGGCAAAGGCAAAGCCACACCAATTGTTAGGAGCACAATGTATACATTCTTAAGTCAACAGCACCGTAGTCAATCGAAATTATTTTCTAGTAACTTGGGTTTCTGTTAATCTTCACATTGTTTCCGTTTTAGCTATGTATACTATGATTAGTGTTGCTCTTCGCCGTAAAGGCATTTTTGCCTTTTGGGTTGTAGGAGTGAGAAGAGTGAAGAGGGAGAGAAAATCTATAGAGTGGAGAAAGCGATTCTGTCCAGAGACAATAAAGCCTTAATCCTCTTCGCGCTTATTTCTTCTATTTACTAATATCGGTGGAGTTCAAGACATGAGATACTTGCTGCATGCAAACCCCTCCTTTGTCTGTCCTTATTCGCCTGAGTGCCTGGCGCCTTGATAGTATGCTGGACAACTTAAAAGGGAAAACAAGCACAGCAGCCCCTAAACAACGGCGTTACCGATGCACGTCCATTTAAAGCAAACGGTGTTTTGTTCAGCGAACGAAAGTAGCTGCCGAAAGACAAGGAAGGATATATCTCTACTGTATATACTCCCTCCGTTGGGCCTTCCCTGTGTCGCGTTAAGTTTCATGCGGTGAAAACAAAGAGCAGCGATTTAGACTGTTAAACAGCATCAATATCTCTGCTTTACAGACAAGAGTGATGCCTCTGCCTATCCAGAGTCATCGCTGTCGCCGTATGCCTCACACAGTGAAGCGAATACATCTTGGTCTTCTTTTGAATCTGCTGCTGCTGGCGTTGTGTTCAGTGATTTCGTCTCTTTAGGGCTGCATGCATCGCTCACTGCTGCCGCCTTCGCCACCTCCGCATCTCCGCCATCCTCTGCCTTCTCCACTGAAGGACTCGTAGCAGCTTCATCGGTCTTTGGCTTCTTTACTATCAAATTCAACGAAGGATGGCCCTTAAAACAACAAACATTAAGTCAACGGATACAGACAGAGGTGCAAGAGCAGCAGACTGACAAGCATATTAATGCAACTATGCACAACAGCGATATTAAAACAACAGGCAGCACAGAGACTAAAACAATAGGCATACACATTAAAGCGGCATACAGACGGGCATATGGAAAGCACAGATATTCCACTGCATATATTCCAAGCCATATCATTTTTGTTCCTTAAAAACGAAGTGTTGTTGCGTGCATTTGTTGTTCAGTTTTACATTAAGGGCTCTCTTTTTTTGTTTTTCTTTGAACGCCTTCGTCGTGACATCGAATATGCATTCATCTCCAAAAGGCGAAGACATTTTTGATTTTTGTTTTTGGAATCCTAAAAAGGAAAAAGGCGACGGCTTTCCTCCTGAAGAGAGGCTGCTTTCTGATTCTGTACTGCGGTGACTGGAGGAAGCTGACGAATTCGCCTTTAAAGAAGCCTCCCTGGCCTTGTTGAATTCATCTCGCATCGCATCTTCTTCTCGCTGCCTTGCCAACTTCTTACGACGGTCTTGAGCCCGTAAAGCCTCATAGAACTCAAACTCCTCTTCAGTCACCTAAGTGAGGTGTACACGCAGTTCCATAAGCCAGGGTACACTATAAACTGGAAAATAACGGCGAATAAGGCATTAAACATATATACATGAATATAAATGATGATTTCAGACAAAAAGAAAAAGACAAAGAAAAATAAGAAGATATAATGAGGGCTTCACGTAAACAGGAACATATAACTGTGACAATACACGAACGGGAACATAACAACATAAACAAGGACTCAACAAACGGAGACGCAGGAAGAAATAGTAATGAGTAAACTCCAGAACAACCAAATGAAACCCATGCATATTTTAAAGCAATACCGAATGAGGAAGATTTGGGTTCTGTTTGCCTTCCGTAGGCGGCGGCGGTTCGGGTGTAGTAGATGGCAGCCCCTCGAGGACCTGCTCTGCATAGCTGTACAAATAGGTCAAAAGAATAAAAAGGATAATCCGAAATAGGGCGATGAAGTTTTAAGAAGGAATTACCTCCAATGAATGCCAACAAAGCAGCGGCCCATGATATACACGCAATACAACGTAGGTGCAGTACTACTTAAGCAGACAGTTTGTTGAATTCGTATTGAATTGCGTCTAAATATATAATCCTAAAACACCAATCCTACTCGTCAGACAAACCCGACGGGGGAGCCGCACAAATACGCACCTCTTGAAGTTCGGGTCTGCACAGAAGACAGGGACCAAAAAACAGAAAAGTCGATGCAAAAAGCAACTAAGCAATGGCCCCCACTGCAGGCAACAAAGTGGCCTTAGAAATAAAGAGCAAATGCATCGAGACGCGCTTTAAAAATGTACCGACACGGAAAGATAGCTGGCAAGCAGCAGACCAGTAGCTAGCTGACTGCTGACGAACACCAAGTCAATAGATAGCTGCCAGCTAACTAGGCGTGCAGATGGTTTACTTCTGCTGAACTCAGGTAGCCTTCTGAGACGCTCTTGAAGCTCGATTTCTTCTCTAGAGCGGGTGTCCACCTCCCTCTCGCGGACTCCCCCTTCTGTGATTTCCGCCTGGTAGACGGAGGACTTGACGAAGTGCATTTTGGCTGTTGTTGTACTATGTGGTGTTTTTATATCAATTATATATGCATCCGCTATATACTGTATATGCTTACTAATAATATATATACTGCATATATATCGAGCTCTGGTTTAGTTCGCTGCGCCTGAGTAGTAGTTGTGCTGCTGTCTCAAGCACGCCTTTGCATGTGTTGGGTTTACTACACACTTAAGGCAATGCATACAAAAATAAATGCATGCAAGTGCAATCAAGCTCCCTATGTAGGGGAGGAAGCGGCTGTGGACGTGGTCTTGGTGATGGCATTCAAAAAAAAACCGGTCTTTTCGTAAATTGGCGCAGGTCGCACGCTGCCGCCGAGCGAAGCGAAGCGGAGGCGGTGAGATCTGTCACTGATTTCTGGATACAAACAAATAAAATTAGGGGATATTTCAAAGATATTTAAAACCAACAAATGGCAAAAAATCAAAGACGAGGTTCCACACGCGGTGGAGAAGGGAATGCTGAGGTGAAGGGCCCCATCTGGGAGCATCCACTTAGACAATTCGCTATATTTAAAGTTTAAATGCATCAAATTAAATAACAAACAGACGAAAGGGAGGAAATAATTCAACGAAGAATACAAATGCCTGCATGCGCTGGCCGAGGCCGCCACAGCCCCACTGTACGTAACAGGCAGTCCACTGAAATGTTGCGGCGGTGGCGTTGTTCTTCTCTACAAGAAATATGGAGGTAGTAGTAATATTAATTATTTGTTTAAATTTACGCCTGTTGTTTATTATGGCAAATTGAAAACATCCATTTAGTAACTCTTCGTGTTGACCATCCATCCAACTCGACCGGGGAATGGCCGCACAAAGGACGCTCCGGCTGTCTAAACCGTTTGATATATTCAAAAATAAAGCAAATATATTCAAATAGAAACAAATTTAACGTCCTTGTGAATTAAGTGGAAACATCAATTTAAGATATTCCTTCATCCATCTACAGCTTTCCCAACACGCCTCAGTCACCAACAACTCGTCTGTTTACAAGAGAGTGAAATTGGATTTTGTCCTTGATGCTCGTCTTCGCTAACAATGCCATTAAACCCAAACAAATATATTTGATTAACCTGACCATACCATAACACCGCAACTGATATAGTAGCGGCTGCTTTGCCTCTTGCCAGTACACGCTTCGGATGCCAGCAGAAGAGGGAGAAGCCTGAAAAGTTGAATTTCTCCGTTTCATCATTTCAAATGAATGCAATACCGTCAATATCTCGTTCCTTTCATTACTTCTTCCTTCGGGAAATAGGGAATGCTACTACCCTGTAAGACAATGGATATGAAAATTATGATAATTGCTCCAGCTCCAGAGATTCAGTGACCCGACCTTCTTTTCCCTTCTTTGTTCCCGCTTGTTTTTCTACTTTTTGCTGTCAGGATGCAATGCAGCGGGCCCTGCCTTCTTTGCTGCCCTCCTCTCGTTTTTCTGCAGCAATGAAATCCCTTTCTTCTCCTCGTTTTGTTTCTGCAAGCAACAACGCTAAGAATGAGTGCCCATTCCAAGTGTTAGGACTCTCCCCCGACGCCTCTACTGCAGCCTTGCGTCTTCGATATCTCCAACTTGCAAAACAACTTCACCCCGATGCCGGTTCTTCTGAAGGCGGTTCAAGGGCCCGTGATTTCATTGAAGTGAGAAGGGCGTATGAAAAGGCAATGCAGATAAAGAAGCAGATGCGGTGTCTAGATAGCTTAAACGAAGGTCATGTGGTCTACTCTTCTCCACCTCAAGGGCACTCTAGTCATGCACAGGAAGCGATTAAACGAAGAGAGTGGAAAAAGCAGCAAAAGGACAGCGCCACCTTCTGGGCTAATCAACACAGTCAGAGACAACGCACAGTTGAAGGGGGACAGGCCGCTGCCTACCAGAAAGAAATGTTTGCTCTCTTTCAAAGCAGAGTTGCAGCGGAGGAGATAAACACCGAAACGCATAAACCCGGGAATCAACAACAAAAGGAGGCTGCTACTCAGTGGGAGGGAGCAGCACGCGACAATGCGGTGGCAGCAGCAGCAGAGGCATGGAAAGAGCATGAAAAGGAAATGCGGGATTTCGGCTTAAGTACAGAGAGCAGCAGCTGCATGGGTGAAGGCTTTTACAAGAGGCGTGCGAGAGACGTGTCTAAATCAAGCGGGTGGATATCGCGAGAAGATAATACCTCGCAAAAGAGAAGAAAACGCTGGAGCCGAGCTGCAGTTGCTGCTGCGGGGTTTGTTGTGGGAGCAGCAGTCACAGCGACGGTTTATAACGGAGGAATAAATAAGGCGTAAAACTCGTTTCTATCTGGGAAGAAGACATTAACTAGCTAGCTATCTAGCTAGCTAGCCTGCTAGCTTGCTAAGGGTTGATAGCAACAAGGGAAACATTACAAGGGTTTATTACAGGGAACGATAAAAAAGAGGGCTGAAGACGAAAAGAGGGGATTAATAATCAGAAAGAAAATACAAGAAGTTTCTTGCATTCTGCTCCTTTCATAAGGACGTGCATCATTCTTTGCACGATGACGCTGTTTTTTGTCTCCGTTGCAAATACCAATTCAACAAATTAGAAAGTGAAAAGGGCGAAACCTGAAAACTTTTGATCGGTCTGCCCTGAGGTATATCGACAGCTAGGCAGTATCTTCTAAATTTTTTTTGTTCGCGCAATCACCTTGCGCTTTTTGAAGCAGGAAACTTCTTTAAGGAGTTTTATCTTTAACTACAGATGCTACTAGAACTGTAAGGATCCGTTCATGCTGTGTTTCTGTCGCAAAGCAAAACAACACCTCCGTCCTGCTGATGAGTCTCAGGAAATAAACCAAAAACAAAAAATTGAAGAGAAAAAATTCAAGTTTTAGATTAGGAACCCGCCCTAATATGCACTAATTGCTTTTCTGCATATTTGTGGAGAGCGGAGTCAACGAATAGTTTGTTAGTAAAAATGATGAAAGGTCTAAAAGGCGATTTTATTGAATTGCCTCAGGTGAATGTACACCACAGGCACTGAACTGTATTTTGTTCCTTGCAGATATTCCTCGACGTCAAGTTCACTTTTCTTCTGTTCTTTGCCTTCTTTTCTTTTCTATTGCTGCAAGGAGACATTTCTCTTGCACTGACTTCTATTGCATTGCTTTTGTTTTGCAGTATTTCTTTATCTTCTCCTCCTCCTCCCCCCACCTGCACGGCCTCCCCTTCTCGCTGTTCTGTTTCGTGTCCTTGCGCCTGCCCTCTTGCCTCTCCTACTCTTTGTTCTATTCGCTCTCCCCCTTCTTTTCTTATTTGTTCTTGCTCCTGTTTTCTTCGCTGGCTGTTTCCTCCTGGTTGACTTTTGCTGTTTTTGTTTATTGTTCTGTTTGTTGGTAGCAGTGTTCGGTTTAGCTGCGCCCTTTTCCTTCTTCTTCTTTGCAGTTTTGTCTTGATTTGCTGCCGCTTTATCTTTTTTCGTTGCTTTGCCTGCTTTCCCTTGGCCCGCTGTCTCCTTTTTCTGCTGTGTTTTTGCCGCTTTTTTATCTGCTTTCGCTCCTCCACTCGCTGCTGCTGACTTCCCTTTTGTTGCTGCTTTGTCTCCTTTCTTTCCCTGTTTTTCTGCTCCTTTATCTGCTGCTTTCCCCTTTGCTGCTCCCTTATCTGCCTTCTCTTTTCCTGCTGTAGCTGCTGCTTTCTCCTTACTTTGTTTGCCTGTTGCCGTTTCTGCCTTCTTTTCCTTTGCTGCTGTCTTGCCTGCTTTCTCTTTTTCTTTTCCTGCTGCTTTTTGCGCTTTGTCTTTCGCCGCCGTTTTGTCTCCCTTTGTCGTTGCCTTGTCTCCCGCTTTAGCTTCTGTTTTGTTCGTCTTTTTTTCGCCCTTGTCTGCCCCAGACTTCTGTGTTTTATCTCCTCCTTTTGCTCCTTTTTCTGTTTGCTTTGCTTGTTTGCCTTCTTTGGGTTGCTTCTTTCCACCTGCATCTTTCCCTCCGCCTTTCGAGCTGCCGCTGTCCCCCCCTTTCTTGCTGTCTCCTCCTTTGCTTCCTCCTTTGTCTCCTCCTTTACTCCCCCCTTTGTCTCCTCCTTTGCTTCCTCCTTTGTCTCCTCCTTTGCCTCCTCCTTTGTCTCCTCCTTTGCTTCCCCCTTTGTCTCCTCCTTTATCTCCTCCTTTACTCCCGCCTTTGTCCCCTCCTTTGTCTCCTCCTTTGCCTCCTCCTTTGTCTCCTCCTTTACTTCCTCCTTTGTCCCCTCCCTTGTCTTTCTTGTTCCCCTTTGCCTCTGCCTTTCCGTTCCCGCCCTTTGCGTCTCCCTTTGCATCTTTTTTCTCCTTTTCCTTCTTTTTGTCGCCGCCCGCTTTGTCTGTTTTGCCTGATTTGTCTTTGCCCTTCTCCCCTTTCGCTGCTTTTTCTTTGCCTGCGTCCTCCCCTTTTGCCTTTTCTTTTTGAGCCTTTTCCTCTTTGCCTTTCCCCTCCTTTTCTTTCGTTTTCTCTTTTTCCTTTGCTGCATTTTTCTCCTCTTTTTTTCTTCGCTTCTCCTCTTTTTCTGCTTTCTTCGCCGCCTTCTCTTCCTTCTTCCTTTCTTTCTCTTCTTGTTCTTGTCTTCTCCTTGCGTCTTCCTTTGCCGCGTCTTTTGCGTACTTTTTTAAATAGTTATCATAGTGATCATCAAAACTACTTGAGCCGCCACCCACATACCCACCTCCATACCCCCCATATCCCCCTCCGTATCCACCGTATCCTCCATATCCCCCGTACCCGCCATACATTGCCGAGCTTCCATATAAGCTGTTTCCTGGTCCATAGAAGCCTGCGCCTCCGTATGAGTCGTAGTAAGGGGAGCCCGGAACTCCATAGCCGCTGTACGCTCCCCCATACGCCCCCATATGTCCTGCGTATCCCATAGAGGGGTCCATATACCCCGGTCCCATATACCCCATATCGGAATACCCCAACGTACTGCTTGTTCCCATTGCATCCGCGCTGGAGGAAGCAAAAGGGTCTTCACCCCCCACCGCCCCTTCATCATCGAGGTTTAAGTCCCCTTCTTCGTCGAGGGAGGAACTCGCGCTGGGATCGCCTGAAGAAGCCCCCTCTGGAGGCGTGTCTGGCTTGTAGTCCCCTGCGCTGTAATTCGTACTAGCCACCTGTTGCGCTTGAGAACGAGCTTCTGTGCCTGGAGGGGAAGTGCCTGGGGGAGAGGAGGCCTGCCCTGGGGTTTGTGGTTGTTGCTGTTGTTGCTGCTGTTGTTGCTGCTGTTGTTGCTGCTGTTGTGGCGGTGGTGCTGCCGGCTTCTTCGGGGGAGGCAGCATCATGCTGTCGTATCCTTCTGCCAACAAGTCAGTGTTTGGGTAAATCGATTTCTGTTCGACTGGTGGATCCATCTGCACAAAGGCGCCTCTTGAATCCAACATCTTCGCAAGAGGGAGAAAAGAAGAGTTAGAGGGGGCCCTCCCACCTCCATTGCCTTTCGGTTTGTAAGCAGAATTACTTCTAGACAGTAAATTGATATTATAGGGCCCTCCTCCTCCCCCGCGTGAATGCGCTAGGGGATCGCCATGCCGTGCGATAGCCACTATTCGGCTGAGTCTACCAGGGATGGCTGAGGGGACCAAACGGCCGTCAGGGGAGGTAGCAGAAGCCGTAGCATTTCGACGGCTAATCTGCTGTTGTTGCTGCTGCTGCTGCTGCTGGGATGGCTCGCCTACGTCTGTGAAGAGAGGCGGCGGGGAGTATCTGTTGGGGACTGAGCTGAAAGAGGAGGTGAGGCTGCGGATACGGAAGGGGAGATGCAGACGAGGGGCCTCAGGTGTATAGCCATCCTGGGAGGCAGCAACCGAAGGCGACTCCCTCGCTACCGTTTCTGTGGACTGGGGATCGATGTAAGGGATGCTGATAATGCGCCCATTTCCCCACGAGCTAAGGCCTTCTGTAAATGCGCAGACAGATACACCACACAATTCAGCTACTAAGGGATCTGGATGCCTGGTATTGCTGCACCGGTACAGTGTGGGAGACAAGAGGCAGACGGCAGAATGGGAGTTGAGTATGCAGGGAGATATGCGAAGTAATGTGGGGAAGTTCAGCATACAGTAATGCCGTACACAAACGGAAAAGTAGATACACGGAGAGACAAGGAGAGAAGAGGAGAATTAAGGGGGCAAAACTCACCAGAAAGACCAGCAGCGCCATCAGGCAGAAGCAGAACGGAGGAGGCGGAGGCGGCGGGGAGAGAAGAGAAGAAGAAAAGGAAAGCAAAGAGGAGAGCTGCTCCCAAAGACAGATGAAACCTATTCTGTGTTTTTTGCAATTCCCTTTCTACTTGCTGTTCTACCGAAGGAAGAGCGGCACAGGCGGCAGCAGGTGAGGGGCTGAGAGGCGACACTTCCTCCCCCATCAGTCAGGGAAATAAATCAAATGATTTAACTTAACTGCATTTGCAGTCGCGCCTAAAAGAGGAGAAAAAGGTCAAAAGAAGACAGAAGAAGAGATTCTCATCGACGCGGAAGCGAACACCTCTGCACATCCTCCTCACCCTCGCCTCCTGCGTCTTCTCAACGCTAAAGAGAAGAAACCCCCTTTGTAAATTTTATACTTCTTAAACAATAAAAAACATTTTTGAAATGACTAAAATGATATAAATCGCCAGTGCTGCAGCTTCAGCCGCTCTTTGCTCTTCCAAACACCGCCGCCGACTCCAGCCTGGGCCCGCAACTCGCACCGGTTTTAGAATGCGGAGTACATAGGCAAATAATAGTAATCTCAGCTTTATTGTACAACCCAGAAGCATAAAACAAACTTTCTCTAAAATTATCATTATGTTTTTTTTATCCAGCAAAAGGACCGCCGGCTTCCCTCGGTAGCTACAACGGGGAACAGCGGGCTGCGGCTCGATGCGGCAGCAGCGGTGCTCTTCTACAATACTATGCATTATTCAGTAAAAGGTTTAAATTGTGTTCAGTTTGAAACAAAATATAAAACACATGTAGCAGTAAAAGACAGAAAAAGAAGGGTAAGGAAGCCGTAGTGGAACTCCCCTCTTTCTCTCCCTACCGGTGCTGCTTTAATACCAATGGTGAGGATGGTCTGCTGCTGGCTGCCTTTACGCCTTCCGCACTAAAGAGCATTATATTGTATTGTAATGTCTCAGCTAAAATGTTACATCGTGCGTTGAGCTGTCCATTAAGTTTGTTTATCTCATAGGTTCCTTTGTTCGCGCACCCCTTGCCCCTTTGCGGTGTCTGTACAGCAGTATATCTGCCGAGATGGCCGTTTCCCAGCGTCTTTGAATATTTCGTTCATTATTTCTTTTCATTTCGCTAAGGTACTTACATACCATTACCCTAACCTCCAGCTAAACATCGAATATAACCCAGAGGAAGCAAGTGCCTAGTGGGAGAAGCACAAAGGGCAGCGTAGGCAGTATCTATATGTGCCCTATGAACAAACAAAGCCACGAAAATCCAACTGTATAGACATCATTTTCTGCAGCTAGGAGAAAAGTTCAGGACCCCCTTTTGCGATAGACCCCAAGCATATGGAATAAAGCCTAAAAATGCGTTCAAATGAGACAAAAACGTTCACTGAATGCCTCTCAAGACGAAGCTGCCGAGCAGACACCCTGAGGGTCTTATGTCTGTGTTGTGTAGACAGCAAGGCCAGCAGTGCATGCAGGCCTGCGCCGTTTCTGTTCATAATAAACACAAGTAAAATGAATTCCGTTAGAGCCACTGAATGTTTCAGCTGTTTAGATGTCAGCACACCCAAATGAGCTGCCTGTCTGTTATGAATATCTTTTGTGTGCAGCGCCGTAGAACACCAGTCTGTTTAAGAAAGTGTAGGCGCTTCCCTTTTGATTTTCTTGAATAAAGAACTGAGCTGATGAACACATATGGAATTTGCTGCCAGGCAGTGCAATCCGGCGGCCAGACAAAACATCTTCTTCACTCAACAAAACAGAGAAAGCACAAACTTCATCTACGACGCCACAAAAATTCAAGGTGCTCTTGTTGCAGTACACCTAAACAAATACAAAACAAACAAAAAAGACGTATACTCAATTAAATACTATCTGCTATGCAAGCCACTCACATCTCCATACATACGTATTCGCTTATATTTATACTTTAGTGCTTTTCCATGTATGCATATTAAGATCCATACATAATATATATATATATATATATATATACTTATTAACAGTCATATCAGGTGGTGCATTTATATACATATTCATTCATATATTTAAGCTGTATTTGATATGGCGTTCATACAGCATAAACATGCTAAAGCTAAGCCAATCATATAATAATAGCAAAACTAGAACCTATAATAAAGATTAGGAGCATTTGGATGCACCATATGAACAATAATATTAACTATCTATTCTGATGTCTGTAGACTTCAACACTAAAGCCTCCTCACCTTAACCATCATGGGGGCCGAGACTGAATCCTCTTCATCTGCATTTGTAGAAAAACCCCGAGGGATATTTGTTGCCAACATAGAGAACGAAGCGAGCTGCAGACAAACGAATAGATACTTCCTCGAATAAAATAAACAAATGAATGCAATGAACATCAATCAAGTAAAAACACTAAGGGGGTCTACACGCACAACACAGAAAACAGGGGCTGGGGTTTTACAATTTAGGGATTTAGGGTTTAGGTTTTGAGAAGGCTTAGAGTTTAGGGCCTTAGAATTTACTCTAACTGGCTGCTTGAAGCTGATATTCAAGAGCAGCTGTTCATCTACATCCGAGACAAGCGCCAAATTGCAGTCCTTAACCCTCAGTATTTGCTGCAGAGTCGCAACTTCTGCGCCGGGGGCAGCAGGAGCTGCAGCAGATGCAGCAGCTGCAGCAGCAACAGCACCCGCAGTTGACGGTGTGCTGTTGTCCTTTGAAGGCTGCCCTTCGCCGTCCTTCTTGCCTTCCTGTGTCCCCTCTGCTTGTTGCTTCTCTGTTGTCGGTGTCTCTGCAGCAGCTGCTGCTGTTGACGCTGACTGTTCCTCAGGGTTTGCGCTTGCACTTGCTGAGGCTGTATCCTGTTCCCTTTGCGCCTTCACCACATCGGATGAGGCAGACTGCTGCGCTGCATCTTGCGCACCAGCAGTAGCGGGAGCAGCAGCAGCAGGAGCAGCAACAGACTCTCTGGAAGTAGCAGCGTGGGCGGATGATGGCTGCCTAGCGTTGAGACCGATGCTACCAGAGATATCTAAGGCGTCAATTATCTCATTGAACTCCGCCTGGCTCATTCGATCTTGGGGCTGCTGCAGCCCCATGATTAATGATTTTATTCAATATTACGCAACTTCTCTAGCTCTGACTGCACGGCTGCAAGCGAAGGGCTAGAGAAAGATATTAAGGCCACCACACCCAACAGACGGGGGCCTGACTGACGCAATAGAACGCGGCAGCCGACGTGCAAGAGGCTGCGGGCTCCTCCACTCAGGTGCAGGGGCCTTCAAGACAGAGGGACGGGAATGGTGGAAGCTGAGGTGTATTTCCCAAAATATACAAGAAGACAAAAAGTAATTACGGATTATTAAGAGAAATCTTCACGAAGAAAAGGGGAGCCAACAAGCCGACAGGCAACGACGGGGCTGATGGACTCAGGGAGCCGAGGAACGACGACCTAACAAATGAGAGCAAATTCAGCGAATAAAGCCAATATACAAACATTAAGAAAATATAATTACAATTCGTTTAATTATTCTTGCGCGTAGTAAGATATAAATAGCTGAAGAAGGAGAGCTGCCCGCGCAGAAACCGCGGCGACGATCGAACGGGTGAACGGGTACAAACAGACCGCTGCATGCAGCTCAAGAGCAATGAAGCGTAATTAAATCAATAAAAATCTTCTGCATTTACTCTCTAAACTCATTTTAACTCCTACAAATGAACTCTATATTTTCCCTCATTCCCTTTCCCTTCCAAGACGAAGTAAAAGGACCGTCACATCCGCAAACTGCTGTCCTTCTCCTTGCAATATGTCTGCTGAGCATGCGAGGAATAGGAGAATTAGACAGTCAATAGAAGGTTTTTAACCTAGTTTTCTTGAACTTATTTTCTTCAAATTATCTTCGTTCGCTTTCTCTCTTGCCTCAGTTCATTGTTGAATCGGCGCAGCTGGTGCACCAGTCTATTTCATATTCGGCTGCATTTCATTTGCAAAGTCTCATTATTTGGTTTGTCTAAGTTTAATTATGCAATTTTCATTAAATAATCCTCAACATAATTGGTGGAAGATGGTTGCGCGCATTAGTTTCTTTTCAAGGCACATGCTTCGTATCCTCGCATCAAACTCACATTAGTTTTGATTCAATTTGTTATATTTTGTTTCATCTCAACAGATTTTGGGGAAGCTGTCAAATTATTATTTGACAGCTTCCCCAAAATGCGTTGAGCTATACGCAGTTTGTGCTGTACCGGATTACCACCGAACGAGCTCACGAATATGGAGTGTTTTCCCTTTCTATTTTTATTTCAAATCTCAGTCCTTACAACCAAAATCTGTTGATTGTAAATGCAGTGCGCCTCTATTCTATTGGAATTGGCCTGCCTATTGGAATCGCTGTTTTCAGAACATCCAAATAACACCCGGAGGATTATCTATCTGCATATTATAGCCATTAAATATATATATGTATATACATATATATATATATATATATTCATGACGCGTCTGATATTCTCTAGATCGTTGAATGCTGAAGAGGCAACCCAAAAGCCTAAAATCTCCCGAAGCTCTTGAAAAGCATCAAATAGATGCCTTCCTTGTTGAGCGCATTGCATAAAGATATTAACATTAATGATTAAATTGTAGCTTCGTATGCAATGCGCTCAACAAGGAAGGCATCTATTTGATGTAGTAATATTAACATTTAAATACGAATCAGCATTGCCATTTATTATTCAAGTACGCAATAACATTAACATTAATGAGCTTACTGAGGCTTTTGAATTAGTTTGCATGACCCGCCCTTCATCTGGTGGAGTTATCATGAGAACAGAATGCCGGGCTCCTCATTTTCTCAGAGTATCTAGTTGAATCAATTAAAACGAAACATTTGTTTTTTTAAGTGCAAGTATATACTTTTGTTTGGTCCTTAGGGTGAACAGCATGCGTCGAGTTTTTGATACAGTTACTTGTGCAAGCGGAGGTTGGCATTTCTACTTTGCCTAGAGAAGAAGTTGAATTTGTTGAATGCAGCTGATTCATTTGTCTTGCATGTTATCCTCTTGTGAGAGAGACTATGGCAGAGTATCAGTATCGTTCAAAGAAAATTAAGGAAATGTGCGCCACCATTCTCAACCACAATGCCTTGCATCCAAAGCCCTCCTTTCTGCTTCGTTCAGTTCGGACTCCTTCACCATTCATTTCGCCTTTACAGGTAATAAGTGCGATTTGCACGGCGAAATTTTGCTCACTTTCTGTTCATTTTCTGTTTATGGCCAAATACCGACCTCCAGCGCCTAGGGCGAGGCACTGACTCTACGAAGGGCTGACAAGAGCGCTGCAAGATGCTTGACTGATCACTTTAATGAATATTGTTTTTAGTAAATTTATTAAAATCGAAATAAGAATTCAATTATGATATATTCAAGATAAGCCGGTTCGCCGCTTCTTTCGGGTCAGCCCAGCGCGCACCCTAATCTGTCATGCAACAGGGATTGAAGGCTGGGGCGTTGTCTTCCCTGTAAGCGCGTAATCTACCAAAGATAAGGGAGCAATAAGTCTAAAAGCTTAAGAAAAACCAATTAAAAGATGCAGTAAAAAGCAGATAAAGAAAACACAACCAACTCTTCCTCAGGCTGCCGCGCTCTACGGCGTGGTGGGAGGACGAAGGCCAGCGGTCTGCAGCTGGGCAGCTGGAGATGCTGCGCATAATTAGATTCAATTTGTGCAAACAATACTTTGAACTGCGTTTTTTGAGTTATGAAATGCTGAATTTCACTTAAGATATTCTCTTGTTTTTCGCTGTGCCGCCTTACAGCTCACATATTCAAGTCGGCTGCTCTCGGGCTGCGTGTTTGCAGCAGCGCCGTCGTCAGCCCTGAACAGAGGCCTTGCCGTTTGATTTTCTTTGTCTTCTTTCTCTTTTTAACTTATTTAGGGGCTCTTTGCTCTTGACTGTACCTGTTTTCAGTTCTTTAGACGGCAGGTCGCGCCAACTGGGGGCCCCAGCCTCTGCCCTTGTTCTGTCTGTCTTCGTCCGAGGTTCGATGCGGCATTGTGAGAGTGCCGTGTGTTTGCAGCTTTACCTTTGAAGTAATTCAATATCTTATGAATGCAGTTTTCTGTCGTTCCAGCTGTTGTGAGGTCTTGTGTTCTTCTTTTTGTCTGATCAGCACAGGGTTTATCCGCTGTTCTGCGTTCTGGCTGACGATGAACAGCAGCAACTTCTTCTCTCTCAGCTCACAAACATGAAGCCCTCCTGTTCCCTTAACTCTTCTAAAGGGTTTAGAGAAGGGGGTTGTTGTGTTGATGATGTTTCCATGCGATCTGGGGTGTATATGCAGAGTTTCCCGCGGCAGCAGCTTTATGCATATTCTTCATTCTCTGGAAAGCGGTCAAGCTTTCCTCTTCTTCAGCAATTTAAAATGTCTGTAAGCAGTAGATATGTGGCTCTGCTGCAGCTGCTGCTTCTCTGTTTCTTCTTTGTTCTTTTCTTTGCCTCTGAACCCTCCCACGCTCACATAGTTAGCAGGGGCCTCCCTGCACGAAGCCCCTCTGTTACTACGTTCGTTCTGAAGCATTTAAACGGCAAGCATGCAGCGGAAGAAGGTGAAGGAGAGTCAACGGGCAGCATGAAACTCTCGAAGAACCACTCTAGTTCTAGCAAAAACACACCAAGAAGTGTCATTGACCCTTTCTCAGCAGCTCAGATGCTCACCAGGGAGAAATACAAGAACGAACTGACAGCTAGAGTGCATTTGAGGGGCCCACGCGAGTTAGAAGAAGCACACGAACAACCAAAGACTGCTGCAGCAGCATCAGTTACTAGAGCAGCAACAACAGCAGCAGCAGAAGCAAAGAAGAGTCCCCGCAGCAGTTCCTACTCTAAAACTTCCTTTTTGAGTTCTGTGGGCAAATCATTTCTTCAGTCTGCTTCGAATAAAGATAATGCAGGGGAAGAGAAAGATGATGCTGAAGATGAATCTGAGACCTTTCTGCAGCTGCCTTCTCGTTACACTTACTCCAACGTAAAGCCGCACTTTCCCGTTCTGCCTGAATTCTTTTCAGACGAAGAAAAAGTGGAGGCCAGAGAACAACAACGAGGAGGAAGGGGGGAGCAGTCTTCTGCTGCTGCTGCTGCTGCTGCTGACCCTTCTGTTGCTGCTGCTACACAGGAAGAGAAAAGCATGGAGGCAATTCCTGCTGCCTCATTGGTGCAGGCGTCAGCTGCTGCAGAGGAGTCAACAAATGCAGAGAAAACAAAGCAAGAAAGCGAAGCGGAAGCGGAAGAAGAGGAAGATAGAGAAGAGAGTGAACATCCCTCAAAGGCAGACAAATCAGAAGAAGAGACTGTACACACAGCAGCAGAGACAGCGGAGGCAAACACACAACACACTCAAGGGCTTCCCGAGACAGAAACAAGCAAAGAAGAACATGAACACAAAGGAGAAGAAGAGAAAGGGCATGCGCCCCCCTTAGCTATACCACATGAAAAGAAAGAAGCTGCAGCATCAGAACAAGAAGCTGCAAGCAGTAAAGAAAGCTCCTCTAAATCAGCACCAGAAGAAGAAGAAGAGTTGCAAAGTATAAAGGAGAGCGGGCGTACAGCTGCACTGTTACCTGAATCAGCAAAAGAGACAGAGAAAGAAACAGAAAAAGAAGCAAAAGAAGAAACGAAAAAAGCAGAAGAAACCCATAAAGAAATGCCCGTTGCAAAACACCCACCGAAAGAAGAAGAAAAAGCAAAAAAAGAAGAGGAAAAGGAGGAGACAGAAGAAGAAAAAGAAAAAGAAGAAGAAACTCACAAAGAGCCGCCTGCTGCAAAAACAGCTGTACCTGTACAGACACCACCAAAGGAAAAGGAAACAAAGGAGAAAGAAGAAGAAAGAGAGAAAGAAGAAAAAGCAAAAGAAGAAGAACAAAGAAAAAAAGAAATAGCAGAGAGAGCAACAAAACTTGCTAACCTGCAGCGCATGGAGGTAGGGAGTCAATCTTTATTTATCTCTTTTTATTTACTTCTTTACTACATATTTATATGTCTGTTCTTTCTTACTTCTTTTTGTTTGCTATATTCATTTGTCTTTCTGCTCTTCTGGTTCTCCAATGCATATTTATCTGTCTCTTTCTTTTGCTTTTTCGTGTGTTTGCTGTGTTTGTCTCTCTGTATATCTCTCCCTGCCTTCTTTTGTTCGTTTTGTTTGTTTGCTTGTTTTGTGTGTTTGTTTATCTGCTTCCTCTTCTCATCTTCTCCTTGTGTATGTTGAGAGTTCATTGCTGTGTGCTTTCTTTTATTTATTTTTTTGCTGTTTCTTCCCACCTCTACTTAATGCATTTACTTTTCTTCATTTTTGCTGTTGCTTTTAATCTGCATCTCTTTGTTTGTTTCTCTATTAGTTTGTTTGCGTAATGTTAATGCTTGTATATCTTGAATTGTTTTTATATTGTTTACAGATTATTAATACTTTGCTTATTAATTGCATGCATTTTGTGTATTTGTTTGATCTATGTTGTTTGTATACCGCCTGAATACTTGTTTTTTTGCTGTCTCTTTACTGTGTCGCTATTGTTTTTTTATTGTTTGTTTATTGTTTGTTTGCTGTCTATTTGCTATGTATATAGTGTTCATTCACTTTTGGTTTATTGCATATCTTCTGTCTATTTACAAAGTATATATTGTATATTTATTGCTTATTTACTGTTTATTTGCTGTCTATTTATTGTTTATTTATAATGCAAATTTTCTTCATTTGTTATTTATTTTAATTAATTGTTTATTCGTAGCTTTTGTTTCTCTTTGGCTGCGGTTGTCTCGTATTATCTTCTGTTGTTTGCTGCACACATCTTGCCTTTGTTTGTTGTTTATTTCTGTTTATGTTTATTCATCTATAATTTGTCTGCTATTTTATTTTTGCTCTTCGCTATACTCTTTTTATTATATATATGTATGTATATAAATAATAAATATATAAATATATATATATATATATCTGGAGGTTGTTGTGCGTTTGCATGCATCTTCCTGTTCGTTTGTTTTGTTTGTTTGTCTTTATTCTGCTTTTAAGTGAATTGTTCCCTTTGTGTGTTATTTGTTTTCTTCTGGTCGTTACTATTGATGTTATTAATTTTTTTTCTTTGTTATTATTTAATCTCTGCGTTTTGCTGCATATTATTACTTACGTTTACTTTTATTCTTCTGTCTTTATTCCTTTCATTTTTCTGCTTTCTTCTTTGCTGCAATTCTTCGGTATGTTGTCCTTCCTTCTTCATGTTTGATGCACTGCTTTTGTTGTATAAATATACATACATACACATATGTAAACATCAGCATAAATATAAAATATATACATACATATATGCGTGCATATATATATACGTATATATATATATATATATATACATATTATGTATATATATATGTATAGATGGTTTGGTAGCTGTTTAATTGTTTGTTTTGAACAGCAAGAAGCTCTTTTAAAGCTGCATATGTTAGGAGAAGGAGGGCCTAGAGAAAATGTAATAACACCAACGGGGGCGTCGGCGATGAGCGTGCAAGATGAAGAGCAGCACAGACAGTTAGCAGCAGCAACGGAGACAGCGCAGCACCTGGCGACTCACTTAAAAGTGCAGCATAAATTAAAACAAAGAGAAATGCAAATTAAACAAAAAGAAATGGCTCACCTCAATCAACTCAAACATCTTCAAGTGCTCATGCAATCGGCTGTATCTGGTATTTGGGGCAAGCTAACAAGCGTAAGAGCATTAATTAATTTAATATAACCTGATTTAATTTAATTTAATTTATTTTATTTTAAATCGCTTGCTTTCAATGCTCTCGCGGATGTTGTACACTCACTGCTGCACTGCGGGGATGCGCAGCGGCAGCAGCCAGCAAAATATCACTAACAGCAGCAGCAGCAGCAGCAAAAGCAGAAGCAACAGCAGCAGCAGCAGCAGCAACAGCAGAAGCAGCATCAGGGGCAGGAGTGGTGATGTGCATGCATTAAGTTGTTTGTGTATTCTTCCTTTTGTTTGACTCTGCGCGTAACGATATGCATCTGTTGTTTGTAAGAATTTGTTTTTTTCTGTCTTTGTTTGTGTTGCATGCATGCATCAGGTACAAAGCACTTTAAAGCAATTAACAGCGGAGAGTGAAGCTGTGAGTAAACGCTTTTTAAAGGAGACAAACAACCGAGTACTGAGACCTCAAGAACTTCCTCAAGCAGAGACATCAGCAGAAGATAAACAGCAGCAAATGCTGCTAGCTAAACAAACTGGAGCATCTCCTTTAGACTGCCCAGTTGGTGGGTTGGCTGTTTACTGCAAACGCAATCAAAGAATATTACTTTTATTATCTAATTCATATTCTCATGCACTTCTTTAATTCCTACTAATTCTTCATTGCTAATTAAACACCATTATACTCACCTTCTTTATCTATAACTGTCTGCCTATACATATATAAATATATTATATTAATTATATATATATTATATTATATATATATATATTTCTTTATTTCTTTGTGCTGCAGAATGCGCCCCCAGCACTTGCGATAACAAACCCACGGTGCCTACGCACTGTTTTGTAAGTAATACAACTTTATTTGTTTGTTAATTTTATTTATTTATTTATTTGCTTATTTTATTTTATTTTATTTTATTTGTTTGTTCGTTTATTTGTTTATTTATTTGTTGTTTAGTTTGTCTCTTTTTGTATATTTGTTATTACCTGCGCACCGAGTTATTTGGTTTTCATTTATTTATTTTTTGCTTCTCTGATTTGTCTTGATTATTATGCAAATAAACAAAAAAGTATATATATATTTTTATTTACATGATATAAAAAGCAAATAAATATATCCTATTAATGCAATAAATAGCGTTGTGCTTACTACTGCTACCCCACAACATTTCTGTATGTCTGTTGAATGTATATAATCAAATAAACAGAAGATTAATTTCTTTATATTTATTTATTTTGTTTTGTCTTTATAGAGATATGATTTAATTGCTGGAGGCGGAGGCTTCCGAACCTGTGCGCCGTTTACTAACCAAGAGACAGCCACCTGCCCCCAAGTAAATTTCTTGCAATTCTACTTTAATCAATTAACTCTAAATTAATGCTTATTCTTAATCACCAGTTTGACTCCTTATCTCCTATATACATTCACTGGTTTATACAAATAAATAAAGATATATATATATATATATGCGTATATACATATATATATATATATATATATATTTATATATGCCTTCTACTCTCTATGCACACGTCTATCTATCTTTCTTTTGTTTATTCATCTTTCTATCTATCTATGTATATGTCTCTGCGCATATACATATAAGTTTACATATACTATAGATAGTAATAATAATAATATATTTATAATATACAATATATACACAACGTTGTGGTGTTTGTACTTAATTTATAATTTGTTGTTTTGCTTACTGCTTCTATTTAGTAAAAATGCATGTCTGTAAAATAATATTATTTTATATATAATTATGCAAATGCATGCATAACTGTACATATACGTATATATTGCTTTGCAGCATACAATCATAACCCTATTCTTATTAATATTATTATTATCACTATCATTATTATTGTTATAATATTATATATATAACACATAGATATAAATAAGTACATGTAATATATTATCTATTATATATCTTTTTAATAAACAAATTCTCTTCTGTTTTGCTGCAGTCATACACGCGGTGTGCGATGGCTGCGCCTGTGAGGGGGCGCACCTACGAACTGCTGGTTTCTGTAAGTTAAACAAATAAATAAAATAAATAAGTGCTATTATAATATAATATATTATATTGTAATGCACTTAGGTAAGAATATAATATAATACAATATAATATAATAATATTATATAATATTAGCATAATATAATATAATACAATATAATATAGTATAATATAATGTAATATTATTTAATTTGTTTATTTTTTGTTTTTTCTTTTCTCTCAGCCGCCTGATAACCCCTTACCCCAAGCACTCTTTATTAAAGGCAATAATATGCACAGCTGTTTGCGGCTGGTTGCTGTTCACAAGAATACAGAATGCGCGTGAGAAATAAAGAATGAAAATAATTAAAAACAATTAAAAAAACAAAACAAAAATAAATAAATAAAACAAAAAAGAGTAGTAAAGTTAGGTCTTTGAAGGGGGGCTGTCTGAGTGAAAGAAGAATGTCTTTAATATTTATAGAAATAAAAACGAGATAAAACGAATTGAAATTAAAACAAAAGATATATACAACTACTTATTATTATCTGCGGTGTATGTACAGCCCAACAGACGCACAAGCAGTGCTTGCAATTCTAAACGATACACAAAACAAAACTAAAATGCCTCCGCCTAAAATACTCAGTGACGGAGCTGTCTTTGAGAATATTCAGGTCTGTAAAACCCTAAAAAAATTAAAATTAACAAATGCAATAATTATAACATAACCAAGTGAACAGACAAAGAAAAATACATGCAAATACACCCATTACTCTTTATCATATATATATATATATATATGTTTTTTATTAAATATAAATAATATAATATAGATACATTATGCTTATATACATGTATATATATATATATATATATACATATATATATATATATGTATACAAGTATAGTATATTATTTTCTCTGCTGCGTTTGTTTTGCTGCTTTTCTTTGACTTTGTTTGTTTGGTGTCTTTTTGTATTTATTTTATTTTTGGTTTTGCTGCCAAATTTGTTGATTTATATTTCCTTTATTTTTTCACTGCATTTATTTTGTTTATTTATTTATTCTGTTGTGCTGCATGTACTATTGATTTATTCTACATATGTATATATATGTATATATATATATATATTTATATGTTCATATGCATATTTATTTATTTTTTATTTTGTTTATTTATTTATTTATGTTGGCGCTGCAGGTTGCCTCTCCAGGGATATACAAGTTGTGTCTACTGCAGTACTGGGCCCCTCCTAAGCCTAAAGCAGCAGCAGCAGCAGCAGCAACAGCAGCAGCAGCAGCAGCAGCAGCGGAAGCACCAGGAGAAGAAAAGGTGATGATATTAGGGGCAGATGAAATTGGTGTAGTGCATGTGCTTACACCAGAAGAGAGAAAACCTGCTGCTACAGAACAACAAACAAAGAAAGAAGAAGAAGAAATTGAGAGAGAGACAAAAGAAATAGAGCAGCCAATAACTCCCCATGAAGAAGAAGAAGAAGAAGAACAAACAAAAGAAAAAGAACAAATAAAAGAAAAAGAAATCAAAGAAAAAGAAGAGACAGCAGCATCTACACAAACGCATGCACAAACAAACCCACCGCATAAAGAGACAGATAAAGAAACAAAACAATCAAACAAAGCAGCAGAAAAAATAGATAAAGATAATCATAAAGATATGCATGCAGCATCCAAACAAATACCCAAAAAGATTAAAGAAGAAGCAGAGACACACCAACAGGCAATGAACACAAACGAAAAAAGTCTTCACGATCATGAGACGCATGCAAAAGAAAACAAACACTAAAATGAAAGGAGGCACTACCTGATATAATATACAATAATATATATAATATATATATATAAATATAAATATATATATATATATATATATGAATATATATAAATGTACATATATATATATATGTATGTATACGCATAAGTACATAATATATATAATATATATATATAATGCATATATGTATATATTATAAATATTATATACTTATAGAGAGGATGCATCTCTCTGACGAAGTGTTCTCACGTCATTTGTTTTAATTGATTTAAATCCGTCTTAGCCGGCCAAACAAACAACAAAAAAAACAAAGACAGTGTGGCTGGGGTGTATGTACAGCGTGCAGAGGAGACGCCCCTGCCCCCTTCTTTTGTTTTATATTTTATTTATTGTATTTTATTTAAAGTAACGCATCATCGTCTGCAATATTTAGACCTATTAGCTGCCTATACACCGCAGTACCAGACACCCCCAAGATACACCAGCAACGGCGTTTGCAGTGTATAGGCAGCTAATAGCCCAAAATCCTGCTGCAGATACATGCATGCATGCATGCAGTGTATGTACAGCTAAATATTGAAGTTATTTGATGGCGTTGGAGCCCTAAAAAGAAAAATGATTAGACCTATGCCTGCGCTGAGCTGCTGCTGTACCTCGTTGAGCTGTATGTACACCTGAAAGTGTATATACACCGCAAGGCTGATGCTGCAGTCATCGTTCATCAGTACCTTAAGGCAGCATCGAGATTATGCTGCTCCTCTTGCTGCTGCTGCTGCTGCTGCTGCTTTAGCAATTGTTTCAAGGGCTTGAAAAGCACTCTAAAGGACAGCCAGGCTGTTTGCTGCTGCTGTTGCTGCTGCTGCTCTTACGCAGGAGGGACTGCTACGTGCCTTGCTGCTGTGCTGCTTCTGGTTGGCGGGAAGCAGCAGCAGCAGCAGCAGCAGCAAAAGTTGCTCCCCCGAAGAGCCCCTTTACGCATGCACTGCATGCATGCACGGTATTGCAAATGTACAAATAAATTATAAATATATATATAATATATATTATATATTACATATATAATATATACAATAGGGCGTACCTACATAATATATATTATATAGCTCATATATAATATATATTCTGTGTAATATACACATAACATACAATATACATAATATATTATTTATACTACATATAATATATATTATGTATATTATATATATATATATGTAAGCACTTCCTGTGCCAGCACTTAGCAGAAGCACATCCACTACACCTTTTTAAGAACAGCCCTAAATCTCTGCATGCATCTGCACGCATGCAACTGCAGCAAATGCTGCGCTTTATTTATCTTTGCCTGCATTTGCTGCTGCTTCTGCTGCTGCTGCAGTGTGTTTGTCTGTCTTCGATGTTAAATCCTCTGCTGCTGCTGCTGCTGATTCCTCTTCGGGTGGTTCTGGCGGGGCTTTGAGCTGCAGAATACACCAGCAGCAGCAGCAGCAGCAACAACAACAATCAATAGCAATAAGTATAATGATGCAGCAGCAGCAGCAGCAAATGCAAGACAGACAACAGCTAGCTGTACGTACACCACGGAAGCACATGCATGCGACTAAACACCCCAACATGCATACAGCAGCATTATTTTATTTATTTATTTATTTGTTTGTTTATTTATTTATTTATTTATTTATTTACCTCATCTGGAGGGCTTCTGGCGTCTGTCATGAAGTGCTCAACTTCTTTTGCGTCTTCAGCAAACTCTTGTGCTAGCAGCTGCATGCAGAGATCTGCAGTAGATGCATACATACGCACAAACACCCCTGTGCTGCTGCTGCTGCTGCTGCTGCTACTGCTGCTGCTGTTGTTGCTGGCTGAGAAGATGTCGTTATTACATGCAAGTATATACTAGCAATATAAATATTAAATAAATAAATAAATATATATATATATATATATATACATATATATTCATGCATATATATGTGCACAGCCAAGGCTATATACAGCAGCAACAAAACGCAAAAACAACAGAAAAAGAAGCAAACCCCCTTCAATATGTATTACACATATATATGCATACAATATATATATATATATATATAGATAAAAATATATATAACATATATACGTAAATATATGCATATGCATATATATTATATCTACTCTATATTATATATATAATATAAAAAGAAAACAGAAAAAAGACAAACCCAATTCGCGGATTTCATCATGCAGCAGCTCTGCTGCACGTTGACGCAGCAACTCATTCGGGTCGGGTTCAAGTGCTTCTGCTGCTGCTGCTGCTGCTGCTGCTTCTTCTCCTGCTGCTGTTGCTGCTGCTGCTGTTTCTTCCTCTTGTGCCGTCCCTGCTGCTTTAGCTGCTGCAGCTTGTGCTGCTCCTGCTGCTGCTGCTGCTTCTGCTGCTGCTTTTTTAGGGGGTGCTGCTAATTTGCTTTTTAATGCCTCTACAGCCATTTGCACTTGATTAAATACGTGAAATTGTCTCTCTTCATGTCTAATAAAACAAAACAAACAAATAAAATAAAATAAAATAAAATAAAATACACAGAAAGAAACTGCTGTGCACACCCACAGCAACGTAAACAACAACACCACAAGAAAGCCTATAGCACATATATATATATATATATGTATATATGTATATGTATATATATGTATATAGATATAGATATAGATATATATAGATATAGATATATATAGATATAGATATAGATATAGATATAGATATAGATATAGATATAGATATAGATATAGATATATAGATATAGATATATATAGATATATATAGATATAGATAATGTGGTGTATATCTATATATTGTACATAAACTGTGCATATATATACATATATAATATACATAATACTATAGACGTATGAAGATAATACAACTACATATATATATATATATATATATAGGAAGTACGATGATAACAGAAACAAAGCAATAAAAGTCAGAGGCAATTGTAATGAAAGAAAAACAGACAAAGAAAAAGAATGCAAACAAACAAAACAACAAACAAAGACAAACAAAAATATACAAACACAAAAAATAAGTAAACAAATATAAAAATAAAAACGTAAGAGACAACCCCCCAATGAGGCAGCAGCAGCAACACCAGCAGCAACAACAGCAGCAGCAACAGCAACAGCAGCAGCAGCAGCAACAGCAGCAGCAGAAACAAAAAGAAAGAAAACACACTCGTGCTGTATATCCGTCAACTGCCGCAGCAAACGAAGCTCCCTCTCCACATCGCGGCTGTCGCGCCTGCAGCAAACCCTAAACCCTAAACCCTAAACCCTAAACCTTAAACCCTAAACCCAAGCCACTAAGCCCTAAACCCTAAATCCTAA